ACATTTATAAAGAGCAAAATACTCTATATACTCTATAACTATAAATATTTTAACATTGACATATTTTCATATACAGTTTAAATTAATCTTTGATACAATTTTTAGGCATTGATAATTAAAGAGTTATCTATCAGACTTGTACATGTGGATATTTACTAATTACGTTGACTGACTAAAATCCAGTAAGTGAGTATCTGGGGTATTTGTTTTGCAAAAGACTGGATATGTAACTGAGGAGACATTTTAACAGGAGAGCTACTTAAATGTGTTATATATGTGCCCGTACACAATATCAATAAATACAATAAAGCGACTAAAATAAAAAAGTGAAAGTTTAAGTTTGCTGATTTAGATTGTATAAAGATATTCAGATATAACCGATAATAGATTATATCTGGTTTATACTGACATCGGTGATCCTTTAGCAAAACACAGGGGGGGAAAACTACAATTCCCAGAATGCAATTCGGAGGGGGAGAAAAAAAAAAGGAACGTCATCCTTGCCACCGGAAGTTCAACATTATCACCCGGGATGAAAACCCCACCGTGTGTTTATATTTTGGACAGAAGTTTTGATTTTATGCTGGTTATCTGCTGCAGACACAGCCAGGTCGTCTAACGTTTATCTTATTAAACGACCCACAAAGAAACAAAAGTAAGAGTTTTGTGCTTTATCACCCCGACACACATTAAAGCTAAAGCTAAAGCTAACTTAAAAAAAAAAAAAAAAAAAAGAAAGGATGCGTAACGTCAGAGCTACGCAGTTAGCTAGCTCCAGTAAACGTCTGCTCTTGTGCTCTGGTTTGCATGTTTTAACCTCCAGAATAACTCCGATCTTACAATATACCGCTCTCGTTGATGTCTTACACTAAAATATATCGTCTGTTCACTGCAGCTAAAGCTAATAATGCTAACCTAGCTGTTAGCCGAATATCAGCTAGGCCTTCAACCGTGTACACTTGTGGTATCTCCACTGGTTACACCGAGCTTTGAGCCGATAAACGTCTTTTATTGATATTTCTTGTAACCTTTCTTTTGTTTTTGTTTTTTTAACACCACTGTTTAAAACGATACCCACCACAGCTGGCCCCCCCACTGCCTGTCACCATGCCCGCCCTGCTGGAGAGACCCAAGCTGTCCAACGCGATGGCCAGAGCCCTCCACAAACACATCATGAGGGAGAGGGAGCGCAAGAGACAAGGTGTGCAGTCACTGTTTGTGTGTCCGTGTCCTGAAGGACAGGTAGAAGTGAGCCCCCCACTTGGTGTTTAGTCTATTAAACAACCTTTTACCTTCTGTGAGACATGAGGATATACCCCAGTATCTATTCATCTTTATCCTAAATGTGCAGCTTTCTCTACCCACACAGAAATATTGTGATTATTACACACTGTGTCATCTGTTGATGATGTGCAATGCTCCACAACCTAAAACATTCACTTTGGGATGTTATAAAACCATAAATGTGTATTTATAAATTGACTTAAAACAACCTTAGATGATTATCAGAAACAGACAGAACATTAGAAACCCTGTACAGTGTAGAGCAATAAAATATTTAAATGTGTCTTTAATATATTTATTCATTTTAAAACAACTAAACTGAATACAGCCAGCTTCATAAACCTGGGTTTTATTGTAGGTCTCGTAGTGGATTCAATTCGATTCATGGGTTTGAGTTTGTTTGGTCTGTCTTGTTGTTGTGTCTGTTTATAATGTATTCTTCCATATATATTTACGTGTGTAGCACTGTGTAACTGTGTGCTATATAAGTAAAGCTTCACTCTGCTTACATACATATTAACTGACATTCACTTTTATGCATAAGTAGATTTTATTTCTAATCATACTTCCCTTATATTCTAAGTATGAGATTGGAATTTGTTTTCACCACTGAACAACATGAATATCATTTTTCAGAGGAGGAAGAGGTGGACAAAATGATGGAGCAGAAGATGAAGGAGGAGGAAGAGAGGAAGAGGACAAAAGAAATAGAGGAGAGGATGTCTTTGGAGGAAACAAAAGAGCAGGTTGGAAAAGTGATAAGAACACAGTTCTCCTGCAGTCTGTGCTTCTAACTTTATATGGCTTTGTTGTCTAACCTTAGGTTGGGATAAATAATACACAGTTAAATATATGTTAACGTGTTTTCTTATACTGTTATTCCCAAACGTAGGTAATGAAGATGGGGGAAAAACTTCAGGGACTCCAAGAAGAGAAACACCAGCTGTTTTTACAGCTCAAGAAAGTACTTCATGAAGAGGAAAAGAGGCGCAGAAAGGAGCAGAGGTAGTAAGGATGCCACTGATTTTGTTACTATTTCAGTACATAAAGGTATGACAGAATTTTTTTTTATTAAACCCAAACTTTTATTCTTGTAGTTTTGGTACTCAGTTGCATTTTTGGGCTTCCTGTCCTTTCTAGTGATATCACAACATTGACATCAGCAAGTTACCAATCCAGCCTACCTATGCACGCGGGGCAGCACCTCCTCAGCATTCAAGGTAAGGCCGTTTTCAAGCATTGTGTATCGTCTGACTGTATCTGGGTTATCTGGATGATTGTAACTCTTTTGACATTGTTAGTATTAGTCAGCTGATCCTTGTCTCTGCCTCTCTCAGGCAGTCCAGTCAGCCACAGTCGACCCGGTGCGTTGCTCGGAGAGCGGAGCAAACAGCTGTTCCCAGCTGCTGTGATTCCAGTGAGTAAAGGGGTCTTTTTGTCTTAAAATATCATTCAATTGCTCCAGATACTTCTCCATAGATTATATGTTTGAGTATGGATTCCTGTTCCTGATTTGTGTGATATTCACAATCCTACACCATCTGATCCATGTGGTTTAGGAGAGATTTATACACTAGTATTTTGGTGTAATACACTTTCCCTCCTCCCTCTCTCCTCTTACAGGCACGTCACTATCAGACACCTGGGTTTAGCTCAGGCTCAGCAGAGCACGGACAGTTCAGCGGGGGGCAGGGGGTCCATGAGTCCTACGGGGTGGCTCCGGCCCAGCATCCCTCTACTTACGCCCCTGGACCGTCTGTACCTGTCAGTTTTGCAAGCAGCTCTCAGATCAGAGGTAAAGGACTTTTCTGTTTTACGTGGAGATCACACTTCATCTGTAATATAAGGAAACAAGCACAGTCATTTGCTCATTGAAATACATTCATTTCAGTAATATAGAACATACAGTCCTGATAAAAACATAAGAACAAATCTCTTCAGGTTGTGTAATCTGGATATGAATTCCCTCATTCAACAGTGTTTTATTCAGGTTGACATTGTCCTTAGTGCTTGTGGCATACCCAGATTAATAATCTGAACTATTTAAGAATAGTTTTTGTTCTCCCACAGGTGCGTCTGCGTTTCAGGCCATGCAGTACCTCCCCCACCAGCAGACTGGCTACCCCGTCCACAGTCACTTCACCTCCCAGCCCGGTCAGTGCCTCTGTTGTCATCGTCCCTGTGTTCCCACTGCTATTTCATTGCTTCTTAATAACGGTCAATTACAGCCAAATATTAAATGCAGAGTGTTAAACAACCCGAATGTAGGCTTTGATGTAAATTATGGTTTATAAATGGTAATCTCTGTTTCTCCTGCAGGATACATCCCTGCAGCAGGAATACCCCTCCAGAAGCAGCTGGAACATGCCAACCAACAGTCCGGCTTTACTGATGCAGTAAGAACATTTCAAATGTAGAAATGTGCTCTAAATAAACAGTTACAACCAGTAACAAGTAGTTGTGTTTTACATTCTGCCCTCTACTTTAAATCCTTACTTCTTTATCTTCTTACGATCTTTGTTTTGTTGGGTGTCTCGTTGATGCTCTCACAGGGCGCTTTAAGGCCTATGCATCCACCAGCCATGCATCCTTCTGCTCCGGGACTGCTGCCCACTCCATCGATGGCGGTCCAGATTCCCACTGCAAAGGTGAAAACCCACCCCACTCTTTTCATTAACCCCTTCCATTGATGTTCATCACTTCGTCTCTAATTCTGGGTAGAGCTGCAATGATTAGTTGATGATTTCGGTGAGTTGTCAGCTATTATCACTAACTATTTTGATAATTGATTAATCATGAAGTCATTAAAATAAAATAAAAGGTTCAAATGTGAATATTTTCTGTGTTCTTTAGTCCTCTATGATAGTGAGCTGAATATGATTGGGTTGTTGATACATTTGAGGAGTTCCCTTTGGGCTCTGGAAAACATTTTATGGACCAAACAACTAATTGATTAGACAAGAAAATTATAAATAATGAAAATAACTGTTAGTCGCAGCCCTAATCCTGAGCCACTGAACTTCACTCACACTATAGTGAAAGGAACAGTGTTCTCCTTTTCTGAGCCTGTGTGCCTATCTTAAGCCACACAAGCAGTATACTGTAGCAGCACATGCTGTCCTCTGGCTGAATAGCAAAGTTGTCTCTTCTGTTTTGCCTCCATCTAATAGTTTTATTTTCTAGCCTGTAATAACGTGTAATAATACTGTTTTCCTATCTGAAGGGCAGTGCTTCCTTCAGTGTTGCAAACCACTTAAATTATTTAAACTTAATCTATATTTAGCTGACCTTTCAAACTGTGTACTTCCTCTTGATATCTTTCTATACCGCTCATAATGAGCACTTCATGTACTGTAACAACAAAAACCTACATCTTGTTGTCTGACAGAATAATTTCATCATGCTGTTGTGATGTTTCCATCACCAGTCCCCGTTCCAGAGCTCTCCCCAGGGTGCTCCTCGCCACAACTTCCTCCCCCAGAGCCAGAGCGGGCACAGGTTCTACCACCACGGCAAGTAACCTGCAGCCACCTTCATCTTCACTGTCGACGAGATTTAACAACTTCATTCAGGATATTCTGGAGAAGCGTTTGGACGAGGAACGAATCGACTTCTTTAAAGTCATTAAGGATGGATTATGCCACATGATTTGTTTTTATTTCCTGTATAGTATTTTGTTTTGACTTCAATGATCAGCAGTCCTCATGCTTATGTGCTTTTGATTTTTTTTTTTTTTTTTTACATAATTTCAAATGTTAATTTGTAAAATAGATTATTTTACCTACACTGTAAAGCCATTCTGGAGGTGTTTATGTTAATATCTTGTATAAAGCAAGACTGCATGAACCAGAGCTTATTCTTTGTATACTAACATTCATAACCGCAGCATCAGTGGACGGGTTAGTGTCTCTGCTGTGACTCCGCTCGCTAAGAAGTAGCTAAAACCAGAGGAGAGGTAAATATCCAGCAACACTTAGCAGCTGAATTTTTAATATGTGGATCAAATCAACATGTTTCCACTAAGGTCACACACACACACACACTGATGAACGCTACAGTGGCTGAAATGTTTTGATGTAACTCAGTAGACTCTCTGTGTGTTGCTGACTTCTGGTTGATCACATTAAGGTTTGTTACCACAAATTAAGTCAAGATGACTGTTTCATTTTTCTGGCAATATGATGGAGGACTTCCAGTGTTTGGCGTCAGCCTCTTCCACAGTAAATTAAGTTTAAGCCTGTTTTTGAAGCTTTTATGTTGCTAAATAAAACGATAAGCAAACGTCACGTCCAACAGTTTCTTTATTGTATTTTGGAGACATTCTGCACAGTTTGGAATTGAAACACAAAGTAAGGAAACCAAACTGCCACAACCTATCTGCCTCCTGAGTGGAGCCAAATATACTCGTTCATAGTCATTTCTCCAAACGGCTGTGTGCAGAGGGAATTTTAAGGAGTGGATGAAGTTGAAATCGAGGTTTGGCTGAAGGACTTTTTTTTTTTTTTTTTTAACAGATGATCATTTGTGTGTTCTCGAAGCAGAGTTTTGTTTCCTTTTTGACGCTTTTAACTCCTGGAGACAAAAAGAAACCGAACCTTTTGTGTGCCATGTTGGTAACCTTTGTTTAATAGACAAGTTTCAACAGAACAATGCAGATCTAGAGTTGAAGCCCTTCATAGAACAGGGGGAACATATAAAAAAACGAAACAGTTGTGACATTATCACCACCTTTCTTTCCCCTGATGGCAGGTAGCTACTGAATATTTGTAGACCTACTCAGTCCTCAGTGAGAGACCTTCCTCTACACCCTTACGTACTCCGATGTGGCTTTATTATGTGTGCATGTACATAGAGAATGTTTACTGTTTCCAATTATTTATTAAAGTTTCTAATTGAACCCAAAGGAGGGTCAGAAAACAGTGAGGGAGAGAGAGTATGAAAAACAAAGACAAAGAGAAAGAGAAAAAAAGAGGGAGAATAGCATTGACGAGGCAATATCCCCTCCTTTTCCCCAGGTCCAGTGCATCTCGTTTGCCCCTGAAACAGAATTAGGAGGAATGAGAAGAAAGAGGAAAGAAAAGTCAGAGAGGGAAAGTGCTAAAGAAAAACAACAAAAAAAGAAAACATGAGAAACATACTTTAATGAGACAGTGTTTTAACTAGCCTCTGCAGAGGAAACATTGCACAACCAACAGTTTTAAACATTTTTTTTTTGTGTGTGTGGACACTTTATTCTACAGCCCACAGTCTGCAGGAGAGAAAGTGCAGGAAAGAAAGTGCATAAAACAGTTTGACCCAACAATTACAACAATGCTACAAGCCATTATTTCTCAGAGAAGTAGGGGGTACAGGAAGCAACTGGCTAGATCAGGCTGTAAAATTAAGTGCAACCCACAGAAAACATCGCTCAAAAATACAATATGAACCATAAGCTTTCATTTATATCTGATAGTGCTACGTAAAAACGATACACATGCTCGTAATATTGTTAACATGAAACAAAAAGGTACATTAAGGGGTAGGCAAATCCGCAGTGGCACACTTCATACAGGCTTCAGATTTTTGAATACATTCGTTGAATTTGTAACATTTCCCAAATTAGAAATCTTTAAATTTCCCGTCCTGGTTAAACAAATATATACATAAAATCCTTTTTGCAATGCAATAATATGTAAAAACATGAATATTTCCAGTATCATGGATGTGCATAATTGTGAATAGCATTTTACAACATCGTCTTTTCATCTTTTTTTTTTTCCCCCTATGATACCAAAAGTAAAACCTTTAAACATCAAACCTCGGCAACAGCCTCGGCTCTTGTTGACTGGACTTGCCTTCCCCTTGGTCCACTGATGAACAATAAACTGTACATTTACATGACATCACACACACTCGCACTGGCATGGCACATGCTGGTGGCTTGTGGTGTAACATCCGAGCACACACACATACGCACACACACACACACTCCTCTTCAGGCAGGCTTGGGTCAGGCGGTAGTTGGGGGGTGTGGGGGTGTGAGAGGACAGCTGCATGTCGATACAGCTGTAGCTCTGTATTTACCTGCAGTGGCTTATTTACCCAAGGCCTTGATGCCAATTGCAGCTTCTTCTTCCATTGCATTTAGAACGGTGATCTGAAAGCGCACAGAGGAGAGAGGTTAGGGTAAGTTTTAGATCATGTCCGCACCAACGTTTGGCTTTTTGTGTGTAACGTTTATAAAAAGATTAAGTTTTGGTTTGATTTCTGCTACAATTTCAAAATTAAGTGAAAAAAAAAGTGCTTCCTGAAGTCGCATTGTATCATGTAGCTTGAGCTGCTTTACGTCCTAGTTAAATGACCTTTAATGCCAAAACCATTAGTCAGTTCACTGATTGGTTGAAATTTATTCTCAAATGTGAGGATTCTCTGTTTTAAATCATTTTAAATTGGTCAGACAAAACGTCACCTTAAGTTCTAAAAAGCTGTGATTTGACATTTTATAGACAACACAACTGATTAGAAAAGCAATCAACAGAGGAATCAATAACTTATATAGTTAGCTGTGTCCCTAATCCCCATATCACATATCAAGCACTTCACTTATGCTTACAGGGTCATCAATAAAGCTAAATGATGAACTAACGAGTAATCTTTTGAGCCAACATCTTCGATAGTCTGCTAATACAAATTATGACTGAAAAAGATTCCTTTATTTCTCAGACAAAAATCTACAGAATGTATTTTCTCTTTTATGTTCTTGATCAAATTAAAGAATCATTTTATATTTCTGAGGTAGGGTACACACTCTATACACTCTTAGAAAGTGAAACTAATGTCTTTACGCCTTTCATACAGCTCCTGACTCGAGTGACGAAGGACGACGAACAACCAAAGTCAAAAGTAGACAGCACCCTCTGCTGTTTAAAAAGAGTATCACAACTCACAGATTTTAATCTTTATGTATTTGTATCGCAATTTAACTGTCTCCCAAAATATTGTTACAGTCCTGATTTGTGACATCACAAATGGTTTGGAGGTCAGTCCTGGTCCAGTGTGTGACTTATATAACTGTGATCCACTAGGCTTGTATCCAACAGCAAAACTTTAGAAATGAACAAAATTTGCTGTAATTTTTAATAAGATAGGAAATTAAACTTCTTTTGCGGAAAAAACATTATTGTTCCACTCAGACAACTAATGTATGTCGTAATATACGTCTGGAGGCGATCGGTAATGTTTGAGTATTTCTTACTGTGGTTCATGATGCTCTCCACACAAACTGAGCAGAGCAGAAGAATACAGGTACAAGGTACTGACCAGGATCTCCTCTCCGGCCTCGTGCTTGCTCTCTATCTCTTTGCCCAGGTCTCCCTCAGGAATCCTCAGGTCCTCTCTCACCTCCCCGCTGTCCTGGAGCAGGGACAGGTAGCCATCTGTGATCCCGATCAGCTGGAAGAAACATCAGGAAAGAGTGAAGTGGACACAGTATGAGTTGATACATAATTCAGGGCTCCAGAGTGCGACCAACATTTTTACGAGGGCGACTAATCATTTTTCTAGGTCGCACTGGTGCACCTGACGCTGCCCGGGTGAAAACATACATTTATTTCGTAAGTGCATCATCTCTCTGTGTTCTCCTGTGAGCGAACTCACACTCATGGTAGGATCATATCGCGATCTAAACCAATAAGAGACAGAGCTCGGGCGGGTCTTTGCCTCTGATTGGCTGTGGTCCTGTTCACCGCGATAAGTTGTGTGTGTTAAAACTTGCTGAGCCCCAGTCCTTCAGCGACAGCATCAGACTCGGAACCAGAGGAGGAGACAACCCAGTCTGGGATAGAGCCCGGCTCCGAGACCCAAATTAAAAAGGCCAAAATATATTCCTTCAGACAGGACTGGCTGAAACAATTTCCCTGGCTGAGGTACAACAAAGGACGTAACGCAATGCACTGCGTGTACTGTCAGGTGTGCGGTCAGAATATGGACGGAAATAGTGCATTCGTGAGCGGGTCAACAATGTTTCATATCGAGACTTTAAAAAAACATAACATGTCTAAAAAACACAAGATATGCTGTGACAAGTGTGTAGAGAAAGTGGCCCCTCTCCCAGCTGCATTTCAGCGGCAGGTAGTAGTAATCATTATTATATATATATATTATATATTAATAATTATTTTACTTGAAATGTTTGAGTTTGAAATGTTCAATTTCAGTTTGGTGAAGCACTTTAAACACTTTATTTTTCTTTTTATAATTGTGCTTCAAATAAAGACAAGCATTTCTCTACACCTTATTCTTGTTTAAAAATTGTTGTTGTAAAAATCATTCACATTATATGAAAGTTATGGAGAGCGATAAAAAGGTGACTCTATGGCGTTAAAGGCAAAGCAATGAAAAATTTGGGTGCACCTAAAAAAAAAGTTAGGCGCACCAGTGCAACCAATGCAAACAGTTAGTCTGGAGCCCTGCATATAGATGTTATCTTCTACCTCTGTTCCTTGTTTCTTTGAATCTGCCACCTTTTCAATCCGACCGGTTTGATCAGTAGTGTTACTCAACAGCCTCTTCAGTAACGTATCAGGTTTCTTCAGTCTCTATACAATGGAGTGTAATCGAGAGGATACAGGCCTACTAAAACTATTCTAACTATTCTCTTGTAACAGAGCATTGCAGCATGTGCTAACTGTACTATCTGCTGCCACTAGCTAGTTAGCAGCCGTATTATTATTTATTAACTTCTGTGATGTTATACAGTGTTTAAATAAAATAACTAAATGTTCAGTCTCCTTGTTGGTTGTTAGGTTCATTACAGCTTTTTCTGTTAGCATTTAAAAGACGGCTGTTGAAATATATATATTGAAATAATTCAACTAATATCATAAATGTTCAACGACTAGTCTACTGGGAAAGTCTGGGAGAGCCCTATTAAATAATATTTGTATGATTTACTATTAATTGCATGATGAAATGTATGATTTATCAGAGCTGCCTACATCTGTAAATCATGCTGATGAAAACTGTGGGACTGAATTAAAACCAAAACAAGAAGCTGAAAGAAACTAACTCCACAGTGCTGGAGAGAAAAGCAGTGTTGGGTGAACTACTCTGTGAGTCATTTAAGCCATTGTTAATATAAAAATATAGATTTCTTTCATTTAAAAAAAAAAATTAAGGCAACTAGTTACAGTGGCAGGTTAAATTAAAAGTCATGTTTTAGGGTAAAAAAAAATTATGATTATTATACAAATCAATATCTTAATATTTCAAGACCTTTTTAGACCTTTTTCACAGCAGAAATTTTGATTGGTCAAAGCAGAAAAGGCACAGGAGTCACTAAAGACACTGACGGTGGCTCCGTTCTGTTAAAGAGTCCCAGTAAGTCATGAGAGGGCGACAATAAGCCAGCGTGTGCAACACCAGGACTCTGAACACTGAAGCAGCTAAATCAGATCTCCTACTGCCTCTAGCAAGCTCATGAATGCACCGTATGAAGACACGTTTTACTTTGATTCATGCTTTGAACTGCATGATTATGTAATGGTAATAAAACCATATATAATTTTCTCTTCTTGTGCTCTGGAGCACCAGATTGAATACATGCTTCCAAAACAGTCATTTATAAACTAACACAGTACGATTTCAAAAACATTACCAGCTTTTTCCACCGACATTAGTACCAGATGCTTCTCTGTCTTTCTTTGTGTGTTTACATCTGTAAAGCTGTTGCCATTACAGAAACTCCTGACTAATAATCATGGAGCTTGTCCAAATAATCATCTAAGTGCTAATTGTCCCCCGGCAGCCATGTACAATCTTGCGCTTATTAAAAAACCAAAGCATATTTGTGTATATTACTGTTCTATCTGAGACGTGACTATCACTCAACTCACTCCCTACATCTCCAGAAATGTTACTCAACTCAAAATTACTTACTAACTAAGGGAGGGACCTTTAAGTTTCCTGCCACATGGACTTTTACATAGCAAGGAAAATAACATTTGTTATATTTAGTTAGTAATTTGCGAGTATGAAACAGACTATGATAACAAGCTGCTGTAAGAGCAGTAAAGACCTCTAAAGGCCTCACCTGGTAATCCATTCTCTTGATGTTGGGGACGTCCATGTTGTGGGTGGAAGGACAGATATCTTCATACTTCTTACCGGAGAAGATGTCGATACCAACCAAGTGGACCTGCACGAGCACAAAAACACACAGGAAGGATGAGCATTGGCTTCACACTGGCTGTATTTGATCAATTAGTTTAAAACATTCAGTGTCCGATGTGTAAAGCAACTAATATCCTTTAATAAAGGTAGTTGGCTATCAATACGTGTACCAGGTTTATCATGTTAAAACCCAACAGGGACACATATTTGTTCTTGTTCAATGTCCATTAATGTGCATTAATATTGACGAATGTGACCTTGTGTTTATTCCAGAGATATGTGTGTCAGCACTAGTCCACATTTGTCGTACAATAAATCCACACAAAAATGTCCTTTAGCTTCGTTAGCATGAACAAGTCCTGCATCCTAAACTTTGGCCACCAGCCTCCACTGCGTCCCCAATTACTGACCTTAGCGTGGCCGTGCTTGCCGGTCTTGGAGGTGGACATCTCAACGATCTTGCAGGGTCGCCCTTTCAGCACAACAAAGCCATTTTTGCGCAGGGCCGAGCACTGCATGGGGTAGGTGGCGGATGCCCCAGCATCACCCGTCGTGAAGTCCAGCTCTGCATCTGCCATGCCTGCTGTGGACGTCAACACACAGAGGACACAGACGTTCATATGGGCTCATGACATGACACAGTAGAGTGATAGCAGGCCGCCACCATTAGAGCTAGAGAACATATTGATTTATTATTGAGACATAAGGCTGGATATTGTCTGAGATGCAGTTTTCCAGACTTTCCAGCCCATTTATTGCCTTTACTAAGACTGAATACAGGGTGCAGTTTGATGATACTGGAGTGGATATGACCGATAACAATACTAAACTATAAAACCTGAGAAATTGTGATTTAAAACAGTCAATATTTCATCAAAGGATGAGTGAACAAGACTACAGCTACTGCTACAACACACCAACACTGTGCTACAGAATCTGACATACCTTTTACTTACATAGCTATCACATCCACTTCCACTGACACCTTATCACAAACCACCAATTTAGATTAAATATTGATTTTACAGCCACACTGATATTGTCAAACATGTTGTACTATTTGGTTTTATCCTTATTTTCTCACTGGTGTTTACTGGGGCTGATATAAGTACTGACTTCCAGCTGTGACCATTGACAGGAGGCTATATATAATTAGGGTCAGACCCAACACACACATTGGAGGAACACTTTGATTTATATGTCACAGAGAAAGTCAGTGGTATTTATCAAAGTTAATCCATGAAGAAAAGACAACCTGGTGAATATCTGATAATATCTCAGCACCGACTAAAACTCGAAGGGTGTGGAGGAAATGACACTTTCATTCAATGCTGTTGAGCAAAGGGAGCAGAGACCAGACAGGGCTAAATAAAGCAACAGACACATGGCACCTGTTAGCCAAACCGAGCCCAGTCCGACTGTAAAGAGTTATCATAAAATTATCACTTATTAAAGATTAGAATTAATATTTAGCCGCAGTTAGTTAGTGACAAACTAAACTTTTAATAAGTAGCAGAGGAGGTGTCCCGGTGGTGCAGCCATAACTGTAGTTAACTACAAAAAGTTTAGCAACTAACTCACAATATTCAAAGACACCAACACATACATTACAAATATAATTCAGAAAAACGACTAAAAGACCCGAGTTATGAGGGTTTTACCTGCCCAATTAGAGTGGCTGTCCACCGGGTAAAACGTTAAACCAGGGCGGCTAATCCGCGCTCATGGCCCATAAATCAAATTTCAAGCGGGTCGTCTCCGGGTGTCACTTTACCTAAACTACCTCCCGTGTTGTAAACTGGAACCTAAAAACGTGAAAAACACGGGAGCGAAATGTGTCGGGTAAAGTCACACCCCGCGAGCAGTGTGCGGTACACTTTGTCCGCAAAGATGACTGCGGCCTAGTGCGCGTATCCCGGCCCGCCGTCGGTAACGCGTCGGTGTCCCCACCTCCATGCGCGCTGCGTCCAGGCCCAAGCCCTTCCTTCCCCTCTTAAAGGCGAAAAATAACATCCTTTAATGCATTTAAACCGGTCGAGACATTAACGTGGCCCTCTCTGCAAACGGCCCTCGGTTATTTTAAACCCGAGCCCGGCCCGCGGATATGGACATTGGTTGCATTTTGGCCCGCTTGTGTACAGTAATGACTAAGCTAATACTCGTGATGGCTACGGCGCATTGAGGAGACCGTGTCAGTCAGTGTGTGTGTGTGTGTGTGTGTGTGTGTGTGTGTGGAGCTGGAGCCGGTGACAGGTGTGTGAAAGCGTTAAAAAAAAAAGGAAAAATTATAAATGTCAAATTCAGCCACAGTAATTGGCTGAATTCATAAACTTAAAACAGTAAACAATGTTTTTATTTTTTTTTAAAAAGGCGAACGACTCATTGGATATTCCTTCTCCACTTCTAAGTGAGAATGAAGCTCTCTTTAGGGTGTGATAAGTTATATCTGCCGGTGGTCCTGTGGCGGAGCACACCGATGTTATTGTTACTTTACGGGGGGGCGTTTAAAGGGAATTTATCATAATACAGCTCCAGACGGACATGTGCATAGGATAACTCATCTGCTCAGGCGCAAACACGCCCCGTCTATTGGATGTTTTGATAAGGAACTTACCCTGGTGATAACGTCTGCCCTCTTCTTGTGTTATTTATCGAGTCTTTCTCCCTTTATTTCCTCCCCCCCTCTGTGCCTCCCTGTATCCGCGCTAACGGGGTCGTCTGGCCCGGGGGGTCTGTCTCCTCTTCGGTGGCTCGTTTTTGTGCGATGTCGCTCCCTTTTTTTCCCCTTGAGCTAGCTGTCGGCTCGCTGTTTTATTCCTCTTTCATCCCCGTCGTTTGCACTCTCTCCTCTCTCTCTCTCTCTCTCTCTCTCTCTCTCTCTCTCTCTCTGTCCCCTTCTGGTTTGTGTTCCCAGGGTGCAGTCGACCTCGTTACGGAGGAGCACAACCGTGAGAGTCAGCCGCCGGGCCGAGAAGAACCAGAGGCCTGAACCCCGCTGTGTCTGTGCTGTCTGTAGCCTACACTCCACCTTCTCTGTGGTCTCTCCCTCATCCAGCTCCTCCTCACCACGGACTCGACGTGAAAACAATCTAAACGCGACTTCCCGTTTGGTACTGTCAAAATAAACCCCCCTTATTATTAAGTTATTACAACGTTACTGTAGAGGCATGACAGCCGTCCTCAGAGTTTTTGACGGAGGAAAAAAAAGAAAATCAAGGTCCACTCACTAGCTTTTTCTAGACCTTTCAACTGCCTCTCATGGTTTTGGATAACACAGTTGTCATAGAGATAGCAGTTATGTACGTGTTGTATTCTAGAATGTAGATGCTACATTGTAGTCAGCATTTATATGTGATACAATGCATTCTAGAATGTAGACGAGTTGTATTTCAGAATGTGTATTACAATGCAACTGGAATGTCTGCAGTGTAATATGGAATTGATAATGGATTGTTGACACCCAAAAGAATTTGAAAAACGTTGTATTAGGCTATCAATTTAACACAAACACGTAATACACAGAGACATTCTTGATAAGATTCAAGGTTATTTATTGTCACTTAAAATGCAGGATTGTGTAATATAATTGGTAAGTTTAGTTGGTAAGAGTTTAAAGAGGAGCGATAGAAAGTATCCTCCCTTGTCATTAAAGAATTGAGACCAAGATATGTTCTGTACGGTTGAAAAATAGTACGTTCTTGTTCTATCCTTACATTATGTACAGCAGTGCCTTGTGGGTTGAGATATAGCTGATAACAATAGAGCTGTAATGAGCAAAAATTTGACAATTATATCCACCATGCCATTATATTCACTCGAGTGTAATGCGATATGACATAATGTAGACTTTAAAGAGGATGACTGGGAGCTCCCACTATAGAAAGAAAGCTTCCACCTCCCATACGTTTTGATATTTTTATGCTTTGTTTGGTTTATGGTGTATACAATTTACACATTCAGTTTCTTTTCACACGTTAAAAACACCCAAGTATTAGTGGTTGTATTTTCACATAAACTGAGAGTCAGGAAACTGCTTTGAGTAGGCTTTACTTAAGGAAAGCCAAACCAGCAATTTACTGCTTATACAGGCTTACTGTCAAGTAAATATGTGGGATTTGAATGCTTGCAGATTACTGCGTATGTTTTTGACAATTTCTCAAGAAACCTTAAAAGCTGGTTGTTTATGTTTATACAAGAATGCTGTTTATGCCTGTAGACCAGGAGTTATTACATTATAATATAGATATACCCCTTTAGTCATTTGTGTTCAAAAGTAAAGGTGTATTGGAAGACATTATAAAGCTATATTTTGGAGGGAAAAAAACAGTATAGGATTAATTAGTTAGCAGAATATGGGTGTTTTCTCATGATATTCTAACTGAAAAACACCCATTTCATTTATTATCATGCGAACTAAAAACTTGACACTATTTCTTCTGTCCTATGACTGACATGTTACACACACTTTTATTTTGAAAGTGAAGTGGCAAAATTTCCGCTCTTTTCGTGGCTAACTTTAAGTAGCTTGATGCTGCTTTCATCCGAATGCCCATGAAACAAACCTCGGCAATTTGACTTATTCTGCGCATGCGTGGCTTTTCATTCTAGTGCAGCATGGACCACTCAGCTCCAGTGGACATACTTCCTATGGAGCTCCTTTACTGTACATTTATTTGATAGGTTTATATGATGAAAATAGTATATACAGTAATGGAAACAGTTAGCTAAAAAGATTTCAATTTCACACTTTTTTAAATGTTAAAATATATATATTTTAACGATTTAAAAATCTTTTCTATGTTCTTTATATTTGTTCCTCAAGATAAAAAGGCTCAAACTGAGTTTTGATATTCCAGATGTCTGGTACATACAGACCCACGGTTCCTTTACTTGCATATTAAAGTGAAACATTTCTCATGCTCATGTACTCTACTGAAAGTACAGGGCATAAATCAGAGTGTGTACAGGACTTTCTATTCATTTAAAACATTTTTAATAAACTTTGTTTGACCCAAGTATCTCCTCTTATATTTGAGCCTGTTTCTTTCTTAATCCACAGTATCAGTGCTACCGTCCTATCAGTGCTCCTCTGCTGCCTTAATTCCCTCTGCTACTAATAATTACACTTCTAATTAGAGCCTTTTTTTCAGTCCAGAGACCCATGGCTTCTGTGCACAGCAAAGGGTTTCGTTGAACTTGGCAGTTCTACGAGCTGCTGGGTTAAATTTAGCGCTGGGAAACTGGAGTCCTGTGACCTATGTGCTGAGGGCTGTAGTTAATGGCATAGTTAGCGTAACCCCAAAAAGAACATTCAGTTATTGCTTTATTAATCCTGTGTCACATCATACTTCACCGAACATGTAGGACCACCAAACCCACAGCAAGCTAGCCCCTGGAGCACAATAACAGCCCCCCAAAGTTAAAAGGGGGTATTTATTTTTAACAGTCATAAAATGTCAATCAGACCTATTCAGAAAGCTCATCCAGCAATCAAATCCAATATGGAAGTTTGATTTCAGGATGAGCTATCTCTTCAGTGCAGAGAGGCGGAAAACCGTAGCTGGAATGAGGGAATGAATTCCTGATCAATACTGCCAATATTGGAATTACTCTGCAATGTAACACAATATTATTACAATAAATGGATTACTTTGTAAACAATATAGATATTTATATATTTCTCACTAATAATACATTATTATTATTATTATTATATATATAAAATACTGAAATTAAAATGATCCCATCATCATCATCATCATCATCATCTTCATCCTGAGTGCATCATGTTGGATCAGGTCACAAAGTGTTTCCTTCCCCCTGCTGGCCAAAAACTGCATTGGTCTGATGAAGTCATTCAACAGGTTGAGGCAGAATTATTTATTATTCTCTGATTTATTTAAGGTCTGAACTTGCTGATATAAATAAGAATATATTGAGTTGGTTATAGTCTCTGTACAGAAAAGTGCAGCACCATAATTTATAGATATTAGCAATATAAAAGAATATTTTGGGAATTAAAGAACAAAACATTATTTATACATCAGCTTACCAGAAGATGTCAAATTATTCATATTTAATTTTTTGCTCTCATTTAATTTAAAGAGGGATTTGGGCTTTCTTTCATTAGCCTAACCAGTGTACAGTGTAGGAGACTGTTGTACTGTGCAATCATATTTTAATGTAATTTAGTTTAATCTAATCCAAATATGGATCAGAGAAATATCACATAATGTGTTTATTATGGCACAGGCTATTGGGGATCCAATATGTAATACAAAATATAGAAATGTATTTTGATATCATAGCCTATTTTTATTATAATAAGGTGATTATACAGTCTGTTTATGATGTATACAATATAAGCTCCTCCTTAAAAAGCTGTCAAAACAATACATGTTTTATCATAAAAAAAGATTTATATGAAGTATAACACACACACACACACACACACACACACACACACACACACACACACACCCGAGAGAGAGAGAGAGAGAGAGAGAGAGAGAGAGAGAGAGAGAGATCCTTCTTTATCATTACAGTGATCATTATAATTCTTCCTATAATAAAATAGAAGTATAGGCAACTAATAGGAAAGAACAAGCAGAGAATTGGACACATCAACCTAACAGTGGACTCTTCATAAAGTAAAGTAAAGAAAATATACAGAATATAGCAGTCGTGACCTAACAGAGTAGAGACCAGTGTAAAAGGTATATTAGAGACGGAAAATGCCTGTTTGTTTTTATGAGAGCGATTGGACTAACGAGGACATAAGCGGTTGAAGATAATGAATGAACGGACGGAGGGAGGAACACATCCAGAAGGAGGCAGTAATGCGACGCCAAGGATGCCGCAATACCTCGAAGAAGAAGAGGAAGAAGAAAAGTTTCGGGAAGAGCAGGAGGGAGGGGACTCCGGAGTGAAGTGTAGTAATCCGACAGCGAGCATGACCGACGCCGACGCGCAGAGCGCTCCACCATCGGCACCTGTGGAAGACAAAGCACAGCCTGAGAGGAAAGTCATAGGTGGGTACCAACATGTGTGCTTAGTCCAGGAGTCTGTCAAACTATGTCATTTAGTTTGAATTCATGTGCTCCATATGGCTGTGAGTGAAATAAACAGATTCATGATGTTGCCGCATAAAAGTTTATTTGCGTTGTTGTCAGGCTAATGTAAAAAAAATAAAAATTAAATGGTTTCTTTAATGTGTGAAACGTGTTTTAAATATATTGTGTCAACAAGTTAGAACTGGATCTAAACAGCAGATAACGGTCAATCAATCACTTCTGTGTTTGACACCATGGTGTGTTTCGTTTTTTTTCTAGAAACACGTGTCAGGAGTGTTACGCACGGGTTTTATTTGTTTGTGGGAAGTTTATTTATTTATACGACTGAAGTCAAACCTCTGCAGTGCAACAGAATATTAGTTTAAGAGCTTTAACTGGCAGAAAAACAGTTTAATTTATAGTAAACTCGAATATCACTAAAACGTGAGCGGTCTCTGTTTATTTGAACTGCTTCCTTCTTGTTTTGTCTGTACTGAAACTAGATGAAAGCACATTATTAGTGTTTTAAGTGTCTGTTAACTGTGTGAACAAATGACCTAAATTCCCATTGATCAGCTGTCGCGCGCTCCAACAGGGACTCGCGCGCGCGCCCTCACAGGTGCAAATCATTGCTAATTAAACGCGTTTCAGTGATTTCTTCTTTTTCTTTTTTTTTTCACAAAGTTCCCCGTCTGTTCTAATGAAGCCGTGAAGGGTTTTTTTGGTCTTGTTTTTAAATGTTTTGAGGTGAGAAAGTGTAGCTGTGTTGTTTAGCAGCCCTCCCTCGTGACCTAGTGCTGACCTGGTTTCAAAGTCTCACTGTTAATGATTGACACACAGAGCTCCCATTTCTTGTTGTTAGCAGAGGCTGCCATTGATACAAGCGAGATAACTGTATATTATTGTGTTCTTTGACTGGCTGTATAACGACGTGCTTTACGTCAATGTTACCTGGATACACATTAATCATGTGCTACCTGTTATTGTAGCCACCTTGGTCCAAGGCACAGTGAAATGGTTCAACGTGCGGAACGGATATGGCTTTATAAACAGGTATTGTCTCCTCTGCATTAACACTGCGGTTTCAAGTCTAATTCAAACCCAAGTTTGCTAATCAATGTTTTATTTCTCTCAGGAATGACACCAAAGAAGATGTGTTTGTTCATCAGGTAAGGCAAAGGTCATTTTCTTGAATTAATGTTTTTATGGGTTGATGGAAGTATTATTTTGTTATAAATCTTATTTATTTTATAATCTGTCTCCTCAGACCGCTATCAAGAAGAACAATCCTAGGAAGTTTCTCCGCAGTGTGGGAGACGGGGAGGTCGTAGAGTTTGATGTGATTGAGGCAGCCAAGGTAAGAATCTGAGAATCCGTTCGATACTATAGCAGCAGTTTTAAGTCGGCTGATTTTTACAATTCCCCTCTTTGGTGTCCCACAGGGCTCAGAAGCAGCCAATGTAACCGGTCCAGGTGGCGTCCCAGTCAAGGGAAGCCGCTACGCACCCAACAAACGTCGCTTCCGTCGAAGGTTCTTCCCTCGCAGCCCTCGGCCTGGTGACCAGAGCAAACCAGCTGATGGCCAAGAGCCCTCTCTGGAGGGCGAGGGATCGGTGGAGAACGATGGAACGAGACCTCAGCAGCGCCGGCGTAGACCACGCAGACCTCGGCCGGAGGCACAAGATGTAAGCTGAAGAAAACTGAGGGATGCTGCTGCAGGGTGTCATTTCTTTAAACCTTGATTTATGTGAGAGGGAGTTTAACTGCAACCTGGAGTTAAATGAGTGTAAAGTAAAGGTGCAGCAGAACTGTTAACAACTTTGGGAGATTTAAAAATTGTGAAACCTTTTTTCTAAAGTTTTTGAGTATTATAAGAAGCTCTTGAAAGTAATAGGATGAATCCGTTTTAATTAGTTCTGTGGCAGAATAGTCTGAGGTGTTGTCTGCTTGTTCCCTCAGGGTGAGGCTGGAGAGGAAAAGAACGGGGTAGAAGAGGGCGACCAGACGCAGCGTCCACAACGGCGTAGATTCTGGCGGCCATATCGCAGGTGACCTGGCAGCATTGTTCTTGTTCTACTTTTCTCTAAGTTAACATAAATTCAAAGCTGATTTTAATATTTCCTCTGTCATGGGATTCACAGACCGTTCCGCCCGCGCGCCCCTCTGGATCAGGCTGCAGACCACCAGGAGGCTTCCCCAGAAGAGAGCCCGGAGCAAGGCGAGGTGAAGCAGACGGAGGCCTCTGAGGGCCCGCAGACCAACGGAGAAACAGCAGAGGGTCAGAAACAACGGCGCCAGACTAGACGCCGCAGGCAAAGGAACTCAGAGTCTTTTACCTCGAAAGTGAGTGCAACTAACTGTTCAAGGTAAAGTGCTACCTGGTCCACTTCCAAAATACAACTTTTCTTTATACTTGCACATATTGCAGAACGATACAGAGAAGTCTGCATCAGAGCCTGGTACCCCCCCTCAGACTTCAAAACCAGCCGACCTTAAATCCACATCAAAATCGCCAAAGGTCTCCCCCAAAACCTCCCCTAAAGCGTCAGAATCACCCGAGGTAAGCTGCTAAAACCGCCATTTTCTACCGATTCGCTGTGTTGAAAAGGATATGTCTAACCGTCTCCTTCCCCACAGCAGGCCGCTGCCACAACAGTCCCAGCACCAACAGAGTGACGCTACCGAGGGGACAGTCACACGACCCTTGGCATGAGGTGGGACCCCCACACTACAGTGGTCAGGTCTGGGTTGAAGACATGAGGGGGGTGTAGGGTTGCACTTCTTGCGCTACAGCTGCCACACTGGCAATCTTTCGCAGAGGGCCAGGATGACAGACTTTAAAGGCAGTTTAGTGAGGTTTCCTGTAAATGGATTTAAGGTGGAATGATAGCATTAAAGGGAGACTTTATGCAATGTGTTTAAGGAACAATTTTTGAGTGAAATGAATCTTTATTTCAGGGATAGATGTGTTTATTGTCTTTGTTTCTTTACTGTCTGTCTCCCTTGGGTTTTTTTATTTTCCTTATTTCTTTGTCTTTCATAGGTCCTAGGGTTGGAGGACTCGACCTATTTCAGAACACATGCACTGCTCTCCCCTCCCTGCACTCCCCCCATCCTCCAACCCACCCCACCTTGCTGTCATCCCTCGTGCCTCTTCCCCCCCCTCTCATCCTGTCTTGTGTTGTCCTGTCTAGACACTGGCGTTTGCAGAGGGACGAGGAAGGGAAGAAGGGGGATACAGGTGGGTGGTGGGTGCATATTTATAAGATTGAAAGTACATCTTTAAAAAGAAAAATGGGAATAGACAATCTGCTTGGTAGCCCAGTTATTCCAACCCCCCTTGAAAAACTATTTTCCTTTTAATTGCCTAGATGGGACACATGAAGTAGTTTATAGAGGAACCAGCCTTGATTTTTATTTAGCTTTTTTTAATTTGGTTGAAGAGGGGAAAACCAAGCATGTGTGAGGTTGGTGGTGCATTATGGGAGTCAGTTTAGTTCTGTTACCACCTCAATCAATTCCTAAAACATACTACTCCCTTCATCTCCTCAGTTGAGGATAGATTGATGAAAAACTTATTTTTTGTTTTACTTATTTGTGTGTGCGTTTCGTTGGAGGGGATTATGTGCAATGTCAATACTTAAAATGCTAATTAATAAATCATGTTTGCAAATCTCAGGATTCAGTCCTTATTTCTTGTCTGACAATGAATTAGAAGATACTGCTTTTGACTATTTACATTTTGTTTTTAAAATTGGTTTACTTGATATTAAATCAGTTTTCTAGTGGTATTTTGAAAGCAATGGAGGCTTTAACAGGTGTTTTTAGTAACATTATTTACAGTACTTGCATCCTTTCAGTCACACTTGACCACAGCATCAATATTCACTGTATACAAATTACAGGTCCTCTCTGAACAATCTCAGTACAAATCCTCAGAAGGTAGTGATACACACCATTAAAGAATAGACAGCAAACAGCACACATGACAGATGTCAAGAGAAATGCACAAACATGATTGTGTGATTTTTAAAAAAACAAAACTACTCTTTACAGGCAGCCCTCTGATTGCACGTCTTGCTCTAGTATAGTATCGGGCTTCTGTTTACAAAACCAAACACCTGCTGGAGTGCATAAAGAATTGAAACTTTTAGACCCTCATACCCTTAAATATCAACAACCAAATGACACACTATATGTACACATGAAGTACTAAAATAGATTTTTTTTGTTTGTTTAAAAGTAGCATTTCTGCAGGTTGTGCAATGAGTTTCTCATGATCAGAAAAATACTTTGTAATATAGCAGTTTGCCTTAGCGGGGAACACACTACATGTTGACAGCCCACTTTGGTAATAAAAGATTAAAAGGACTCCTTGGACAGTTATCAGGGCTTGGTATTGCTTGACATTTTAATTAAAATTAAAATCCTTTAATATTTCTTAAAGGACCAGGGTGTAAGATTCAGTGACATCTAGTGGTGAAGCTGCAGGTTGCAACCATTTGAATACAGCTCAGGCTTCCAAGTGGCTGCAAAAAGCTCACAAAAGGCCCTAAGCAGAGCCAGTGTTTGGTTTTGTCCATTCTGGGCTACTGTAGAAACATGGCAGCCTCTGTGAAAGAGGACCTGCTCAGAGATTATTTCTGAGCACTCATATGAGAATTTTGCCTAAATAAATTAAAATGATCTTTTTAATTTTAAATTGTGTGATTAAAGAATAAATTGTTGGTGTTTTTTTTCTGGAATTTTGCAAGAAAGTGACCAGAAATGGTAGGGGATGATGGTTGGGTACACGCTCTCTACCAGGTGAGCTACCAGGGTGCTCCAAATCAAAGAATAAGTTAAAAAGGTAACAAATGTGGTCAAGCATTTGATGATTTCTGTACTTGACAATTTTCCTGAATGTTATGGAAACATTTCAGTTGGTACCAAAAAAGTATTTGTTTAATACCCGGCCCAAGTTACTGTAAGTGGAAACGTTGGATTTATTTTACAACTTTCAGACGTACTATTCTGTTCAGTTCATCAGTTAAATGCGTTTCAGTCTTTAGGCATTTAGTTTGTGTTCCCAGCTTTGGTACAAAATAGGCAAGCATACTTAACTCAATGGCTATATATCCTATGTTATGTTGGCTTTTACCTTCAAACTCCGAAAACTTTGGATGTCTTTGTAGTTAAAGTGCAGGAATTCCAAAGTCTTTCCACCTCCGTCTGTCAATATTGCAACTGAGTGCATCGCCATGGAATAAAATCCTACCACGTTGGCAGTCAATGCCTCAACAGTCCAAAAACTTTGTTCTTATGTGCATCTTATACCTTGAAACTACAGTAGTCAACTCTTACTCCATAGGGTTTAAGCCTTTTGTCAAGGCTCAATTTGTAACCTCATAGTGCAGTGGTACCAGCAAAGGACAATTCCAAAACACACCTTTAACACTGCTTTGGCACCACAATCTATATGAATACAACAATTGACCTCAATATACATGTCAGAAAAGTCGGGCCCACATACACAGTTCATCCCAAGCTGTACTCAGTTCCATATCTCTCCAGGCAGGGACTCCTCAGTTGATGCTTTCCTCCCCCAAATAGTCCAGCTCGGTGCTGGGCTTGTCCAGGTCCATGTCCATGTCCATATCCATCATTCCTCCCACTGAGCGCTCATTGAAGTTTGCTGCAATCTGGTCGAAGGTCTTGCCCCGTGTCTCTGGCACCCGGAAGAATGTGAAGATGAGGAAGAAGAGGAGGAGTACTGCGAAGATCAGGAAGACGTATGGCCCACAAAGGTCCTGGGGAAGGATTGGAACAACAGGATGAGGACTAGACCTTGGACACTTGAATGGGGTACTCATCATTGTGCTGGAAATCCACAACTATCTGCTAAAGAATACTCACAGCAACATATTGGAAGCCCATGCCGATGATGAAGTTGGCAGTCCAGTTGGAAAAGCCCGCCACAGCCATGGCAGCCGGCCTTGGACCCTGAGAGAACAGCTCAGCTACGAAAAACCAAGGGATTGGACCCGGACCGACCTCAAAGAAGGCCACGAAGCCAAAGATGGACAGCATGCAGATGTAGCTCATCCAAGGAACGCTGTCCTATCAGGTCGGAGATAAAAAGGGTTCAGAGGATTGTAGAGAAAACTCCCATAACAGTACAGAGCGCTTGCATCTTTGTGTGACTGACCAATAAAGCGAGAGCCATGGTCATGATGACGGCACAGATACACATCCCACCAAGTCCCAGCATGTGCAGCGTCCGCCGACCCATCCTCTCTATCAGGAAGAGCTGTTAATAACAAGAGAATGCGGAAACAGAGATGAGATGTTATCCTCAGTCGGCTTACAGATTGTACTTAAGTTAACTGTACAACTAGTTTGTACTGAAATATAATTCATTGTTTAAAGAAGACTAAGAGCTCATAGCATTCCTAGTAGCTTTGTTAATGCTAACATCAGCATGCTAACAGTGGCATTGCAAACATGCTGATGTTCAGCAGGTATAATGTTTACCATGTTCACTATCTTAGTTCAGCATGTAAAAGTATTAGCACCAAACTCCGACTTTAATTGAGGCTGATAAGAATGTCATTATTTTTACAGGCATGTCATAAACCAGAGTTTTGGCCAATTTAAAACTCTGAAATGATGATTGATGGCACCAGATAAAAAAGTCATAACTGTTTCGACCAGATTTCATGACAATCCATCTAAATGTTGAGATCATTTAGTCTGGGCCAAAGAGGTGGAGCGACCAAAGAGACCAACATTTATACACCCCGAGATCCATAGGGCTAGCATGGCTAAAAATCCCGCTTTCCGACCCATTTAATGACATTGAAACATCTTGACCTGCCAAACCAAACTTGACCTACTTGGATGCAGGAGTGTTTGAGAGGCAGGCACGAGAGAAAGGCAAAACCAGCCTGCCGTGTTATCTTATTTGCTCTTTGATAACAATGTTAAACAGTAATAGAGATACACTTTGGTGCATAGCAGGACTCTTTATCATACTAAATTTACAAAAACAGTTTATACTTGAATGCTTTTATAAGGAAGGAGAGGGGGAGCACATCAAAAAGCCTAAGATGAAGGCATGTTGGTTTGATTACTGACCGAGACCACGGTGAAGGCACAGTTTATTACGCCTGCTCCTATGGTGGCATAGACTGGACTCTGGACTCCTGCCTTTATGAAGATACTGGTGGAGTAGTAGAAAATCTGGCCAGAGGGGTAAACAGATTATGCTTATGTTAGTATTACACTGCACTGATTCACTTCACGAAGAAAAACATGACTTTAACTAATTAAGTTTAAACCCCCCTGACTCACTGCATTGATCCCAGACAGCTGCTGGGAGAGCTGCAGCAGGATAGAAATGATGATGGGCTGGCGGTACAGTGGAGAGCGAAAGAGCTCCAGGATGGACACCTTCCTCTCCATTTCCATCTTCCTCTTCTCCTCCTTCATCTCTGCCAGCATGTCGCCGACCTCCTGCCTACCCGTCAGCCTCCTCAGGCCTGCACAAAGGAGGCGTGTAAGGAGTTGAGGTGTGTGTATGTTATATTAGAGTTTCAGCCACAATTTCAAAGCTTGAAGCAACGTAAGCTCTATGGGGCCAACTTAAGATCTTATAGACACATGTTTTGGTACTTTCAGCCCCATAAATGTTGCGTAAGGTGAGAGTACTTATATAGCAAGGCACTGTACAGTGAGCGATTAGATAGTGTAATAAACCTGACAATCTTGTTTTGTCTTTGCAGTATAAGTAAGACTGAAGGAGTTGATTCCCCCCCCCACAAATATCTTCAGGTGAGTTAATGTCCTCTCTTGTTTTTAGAACAAACAAGTTGGTTTAAATCCACTGCAGCACTTAATTTATAAAATTTAAACGGTTGTGGTCAAAGTTCAACAACATCAACAACAAGAAATGTCAGTAAAATGTCCCAACAACTGCAACTTAATCCACAGAAACAAGTGAGCCAGGAGGAAAATAATAGACCTTCAAAATACTGCATGAGGTGACTGGACTGATTGAAGATATCATTTTTGAAGAAATCTGTTATACAAACTAAAGCTGCTAACTTTCTGTGTGCTGGACCACTTTAGCTTTGACCTTAAAGATGTCTTCAGACCAGTATGAAGTACTCACCTCTCTTGGCCTGGTGCTCCTGGCAGCGGACGATGTAGAGGAAGCGGGGGCTCTCGGGGCAGAAAGGCAGAAATGACATCTGAAGTACAGTCGGCACGACAGTTAAACCCAACAGGACTGGCCACAACTCCTGACTGCCCAGTAACACCTCCAGACCCAGGATCTGCACACGGAGAAGGATCAGGTGTAAAGACATACGATTTTAAAATATATAAAACATTTCCAGAAAAGGCTATTACAAAATATTTATATCAAACATTAAACTCCAGGGAACATGGTGGTTCTAGACATTTTCTCATAAATTAACCACATATTTTAATTTCAGACTATTTTTGAAGATTCTTTCTGATGATTTTAACATTTTAACTTTGTCCAAACAGAAGAGAGGTTTTATTATCTGCGCTGTCACACCTGTGCTATGAGAATACCAGTGACTATAGCCAGTTGGTGCAGCGTGCCCAGTGCCCCTCGCAGACTTGTGGGAGCTATCTCTCCCACATACATCGGTGTCAAGCCTGATGCTAATCCTGCACAGAGGAAAAGTTGGATAAGAGACAGGAACTTTCTACCAGATGTGAAGGAGATGACTGACTGCAAAACAGCAAAAGAATACAGGCTCACCACAGTAGGCACCGATGATAAAGCGTCCGAGGATCATCATTTCAAAGGAGCGGCAGAGCTTGGACAACGCCATCAGACTTCCACCAATGAAGGCGAACAAGTTGTTTATGAGCATGGCTTTCCTCCTGGAAAAGATGTTACACATTCTCACTCTGAATCCCATCTAATATATATATATATTTCATTAACCATGAGTCTCAGATATCATCATCATCCAGGAGGTTAACTGTAGCTCAAACACTGTTAATAGTAAATTAACTTGAGAATCAGATTTCATTGCTGAAGGGGCTTTTTGTAAAAATAACACAAGATGCATAAATATCCTGAGAAAGAGGCTGGTGTGTTCATAGTAAGTTTGACAATGATATTTCACTTCACGGATTATTTCTGTCTAGCTCTGCTTATATGTGCACAACACATGGAAAGATATTTCAGCCTCCAGAGGGCAGTGTCATACAAAAACATGTAAGGCTTTAGTTAGTTGCTTCCTTAATCCCTGACTGACATTAGTAGTTATCCTTAAACAACCTTAAAGCCTTGAGTGTCTGCAGTGCAGTGTAATTTGCTATTATTCAGTTTCATTTAGAGTTATTTTTTAGATTATGATCATTATGAGTCGTGCCAAAAAGTTATGCTAATGTTGTGCAACAAATTGACAGAGGCAGGCATTTGGTTCAAACCAGGGGCCACCTATACCAAATAGCTTCATCAAGATATTAAATTAAAGATCCCCCAGACATGTTATACAACATGTAATTTAAAATTCCAAAAATGGCATCTGCTCTTTCTATCCCACTAAAAAACCCAGAATCCACAGATAAATTATATATATTTGAATATTTATTAATAATCTTCATACAGATCATTTTTTATTTCAGAATTAACTGCTGGACTCAAGATGTCTCCTACTTAAAGTCCAATCTCAGTGTATGTGCATTACATGTTTCAAGTTTCCACACACTTGTGTAAGTTGCATTTTGGATCCTGATTGGCTTCCAGACCACTGACACTTTATATAATTTAGTTGTGAAGACAGAAAATCTTCAATCAATTAGACTGAGATTTAAGGTAAGAAGAGAGAAACTTTCCACTTTCAGCAGAGGAATGTGAGCAACTCTGCACATACATCATTCTGCACAGTGAAGTTCAAACACCAAAGGGAAGTAACAATACATTTGTTTAGGAGGACCTTGTCCTGAGCGCACCCATGGTGGAACGCTGCCACAAACCGACCCTCACTCCTCCTCACACCCCTCCTGACCCAGTGCTGCCAGCTCTGTAAAGATCCACTTTCAGCCAGTGGAAGCTGTGGGCTGCAGTCCAGCTCAGGTTACAGATGGAAACTGGGTCGACACGGAACATTGTGGGCAGAGTTTCCCCCTTAGTGACAAGAGACTGGAGGTTGGGATCCATTTTGGATCCATGCAGAGGTGGAAAGGAGACGTTGCTGTATGATGACTCATAGAGTTGGCCACTGACATATTTCTTAATTATTGTCTAAGCAAATGGTTTTTTTTTTGTCCTGTTAACTGCCTCATAACACCTTAGATTTATTTTGTGACCACCCACGGGTGGGTTATAAAACTTTTTAAAAAATGGCTCTTGGGTGGAATATTTGTGCTTTACTGGGTATTTTGGTAAATTGTGCAACCACTGAAATAGCACCTTTATCTAGAATTTCATGTAGTCTTGAGCACATAATGTTTTCAAACGTTTTAATAAGTTTGAGTTCACAAGCAAAATATAAACTCCCAATTCTGGTGGAAACACTTAAATAAGAGTGTGCCCCATCCAGAGTGTTTCCCTACCTGCCCAGCCACTCGGAGACGAAGCCCAAGCAGAAGGCGGACAGCATGCCACCGATGGAGAAGATGGCCACGGACAGAGACCAGAGGGAGGTGAGGGTCCCACTGGGGATGGGTTCTCCATACCGCTGCAACCATGTCGCATTATAGTCCTGCTCGATCATCTGCACAAGGCACAGAGGGGAGATTGGGTGATTATTGTTAATGTTATTTTGATACGTTAAGACACAGATCAATAGGGGGTGTCTTGCTGCTCTTTAGGGGTGAAACAGGAGAAAAATATATGAGAAACAAGGAAAGGTTAGGTATTAAGTGTGTATTTTGTCATTGTTAAGGTAACCCACATAGCATGAAACCCTGATAACTAGAATTTAGAATCAGGATTTGTAAATAAGATACAGAACATATTACTAAAAGTAATGTAACATACCTTTAAAGGACCCCCAGAAATAACCTTTTCCATCAGAAGAAGATTTACTTGCTCTGCAACAGCCCTGACTGGGTATCAAGCTTCAATACTTTTCTTTTTCACAGTAAAGTAAAAATAACAGGAGGAAATCCTTATGGAGCATACACAGTGTAGAAATAAAAGGATAAACTACAGGTCATAAACTATAAATCAAGGGGTTTACAACTTTCCTGTACACCAGAGCAATTTATTCTGTATATGAACTGTCTCCGAATGTCTCACACACACACACACACACCACACGCACACACACACACACACACACACACACACACACACACACACACACACACACACATTAAAACAGCGGCTTCCATTCTGGTTTCAGCGTCTCTGTGAAACTACGTCAGCTGTGTCACGTTTGTAGTCAAGAGTCATCACCAGATGCCTGAACACCATCAGCCCAGTCAGGAGCAACACACCTGACTTCCATTCATCTCTCTGACTGACGCTGGACGTGTTACACAATGTGCCAAACAACACCTGACTGTTTTGTGTTAATAGACAGATTAAAGTATTGAATTAGGTATTTGTTCTGCAATACATTCTCCAGCCTGATAAAAGAGTATATGTGATATAGGCAGTCATAAATCACACAGTATTACATACATTTCTCACATAGAGTACCCAAACGTGCTGGAACACCAGATGTGGCTGAAATATGAGACAGCGACATGGTTTATAGCCAGAGCAAGTCAGGTCTTCAAAACTGCTGTGCCTCTATAAATATATACTGTACAGCACATACAGTATTTGTATTAGAAGGCTACGTGAGTTCAAGAAGAAGGATGTTGTGGTGTCAAACGCACTGCCTCGTAAAATAAGGAAACAGATGAGCTTAGTGAGCTACTAGTATTTTATTAATAAATCTAGTATTTTCTTTAATAATTGTGTCTCTTAACTCTGTGCTGAATAGTTTGTGTGTTAGTTGTATATTACTGTTTTACTAACAATATTGACTCTTGCATTTTATCCATGACGACTGTTTATTGCTGCTCTTTATGCCTGTGTTTTGTCACTTTGTGTTGCTTGCATGGTTATATAGTGTATATGATTATAAAGGAGTTTGTTGCTGCATTATTGTATACTGATGTTTTGTTGCCTCCTGTTGCTCTGCCCGGCTTGTGTTGTGTGTTGTCTTGAAGGATTTATTGTTTTGTTGCTGTTGCTGTCACACATTCATATACAATTACAATGAAAACACAATTCTATTTTAAAAAAGGTGTTTAAAAGTTCATGTTGACACTTAATAAGAAGAGAGCAGTTTCTGATTATAATAATTAATTTGAGATGATATAAAATTATTATATAAAAATGTAGAGAAACTGTGAAGTATGCCGTTAGTATTTTTTATAGTACTGGAATGCTGAATTGGCCCTACTCCTACTCAGTAGCCCCAAGCCAGTTTAAAGGCAATAAAAGCCCAAAAACACACATAAAAAAGACCATCTCGTTTATGGACTGCAGTTGATAATGAGCCAACTAGCAGCTGTACATTTACAGAAATGTTGATTCATGTTGTCCTTATAAATAAATAAATGAAATGAGTTGACGTCTGGTTAAATATCTCTGTCTGACATTTGATGGGGTCTTGAATCCATGGCCTTGTGCTTCATTTTTTTTACCTTCTGGGGTGCATTGATGACACCGATGTTGTACCCAAACTCCAGAGATCCCAGGACGGCAGTGAAGACTGAGAGAACAAAGGTTCCCGTCACTGTCTGCAGGAGAAACACACACATAGAGAAACATGTTAAAAATATATATATATTATTATCAGAACAGTGAGTAATGCTGAGAAATGTGTTTAATTATGGCAAATAATAACAGAGCTTAAGTGGACTCCTGGGATTGGTTTCAGCTCTACTCCACTAACATCAACTATATATAACTGTGATCCTGATGAGAGACAATCTCTTCATCACAGTCCATGACTTCACAGGCTGCTTTACTGTTGACGCCTGAACTTTAACTCCCCTCTGGTTTCCCATCAGGCCACGGGCACCTGTCTCCACGGTGACAGAAGAGATGACCTTGGGGAGATGAGGTCTTCCCCTCCAGCAAAGTGTATTTAAACCTCAGAGAGTCATTTCATACTGACAGAGTAGTTTCCTAGCAGCTCAGTGCTGGAGGAGGACAAAACTCTATAACATAAAAACATGCTGATTTTTATGGTGGTTTTTAAACGCTTCTGGAGGATTTATGAAATGCTTCAAGACCTGTTGGATAAACAGAAAAACAAACTCCCATCGTGGTTTCCTGTGAAGTTGACATTTTAATGATGTGGGCCATCTGATAACAACAATGTGATGTGACTCTAAACTAAAAGTTTAAACTAAAAGTTTAAAGTGAAGTTTTGTTCTCAATTTGAACAGAATCATGTTTTTTTTACTTGAAAAATGTGTATTATTTCCTAATGTACATTAAATAATGATGGAACCTCTTAAAGATGTTTACTTTTGCTCTAACGTCCATCTGTAACACTGTGTCTTGACCTTGCTGTGTTGAGTCTCTAGATAAGTGCTGTTTAGTATTCAGTGACCAAAACAACAGGGTGTGTGTGTGTGTGTGTGTGTGCACATGTCCTTGTAACTGAAAAGGTAAAACATGAGAAGCAGCCAGTTATACTCTATTACACTTAATGTCACCTGCATTTCATTAAAGGTTATGCTCAGTAATTCATTTTCTTTTCACTTATCTTGAACAAATCTTTAATATAAGATACACTAGAGGGTCTCACTACAGAACTCATAGTGTGTGTTTGCTTTTTGCTTTGTTTGAGTTGCTCAAGGGATTTTTTTTCCATCGAAGCCAAAACGTCTGAGCTAATAGAAGTTCCCACATCCCTTGAACATCCCTCTGCATTCTGCACACACATCAGTAGCAGTCCACTCTCTCTTGTTTCCAGAGTTAAACTCTCCAGAATCAGAGGAGTGATCCACACATCCATCTGACCTAGAAATGATTTCTCAGAAAGAGCTAGAGGGAGCACACAACACAGGCATTGTTTATGAGGGTGGGGAAACTGAACCAGTCAAACTAGGTGGCCTACAAAAAACCCACAGTATGAAGCTCTGACCTGTAAACTCAGATATTTAGCTGGTCAAGGTCACTACTCGGGACTAAATAAGGACTAACAAAGCTCGTTCAGATCAGGGCTGATTATTTCTCTCCCTAAACTACCACATATAGTTACTGGTTGTCACAAAGGCCATTATTATTATTAATTATCATTATTCTTAATTTTTTCATTATTTTAGACTCTAGGTAAAGCACTGCTTTATTTTCAACGAATGTACTACACGAAATGTTTTAGAGATGGCAGAAATGAGAAGAATCTTATTTTATAACATTTAAAATGTCAGAATAATTCAACGAGCTTCATCAACGAGTTTGTATTTAGTTGTTGGATTGTATGAGACAAACTGCAATTCGGCCAAGCAAGGCGTGTATTTTCTCTTACACTTTTTATGTACGACGGAGATAAACCCGTGCGTAAAATCTCTCCAAATAAAATACGCACGGGAAATGCGCACGGAGTAAGACAAAAAATACCGGCTCTTCCTACAGCCTACCATTCATCAAATCAGTTAAGAGAGTAAAACAAATAAGCCCAACCACATTTATAAACTCTATAAATCTCTCAAGAAGAAAATTACCTCCCCTCCGAGTTGCTGAAACCCGGCCGGCATGACTTTGGCAGCTCCAGGCACCCAGTGTCAGTCGATGACAGATGCGTCTGGTGCCAAATGCAGACACGTGAAACTCCCCCAAAAGGACAACAAGTCCCAACTTCAAACGTTAGCACTTCAGCACCAAATAAACCCGCACGGTAAAAGTTATATCCAAAAGAAGAAACCCAAAGGGATCCGTCAGGTGCGTGGTGTGCTCGCTTCTTTGTACTTTGTGTTGTGTCCGTGCAGCTGGGATAGAGTGACACCCACGTGCACGCCTCTCTCTGTACCGAGAGGGGCAGGGAGGTGGGGCTCCCCACTGGGCCTCTGGCTGATCTTGAGGTCGTGCAGCAGAGGTCGAGACACAAGCAGGAAGCTCCCCTGACCTTAACTATTATTGGCTGAAGGCAGAGAGCATGTGTGAGGAAAGAAGACCCCCGCTGTGCAACAGAGAACTTACTCCTACAGACAAGAGGGTCTGGTTTTTATTGTGGGGCAAGAGATGAAGCAAAGTGAGAGAGCTGTGATTACATTTTAAGATTCCTCTTTGAATCAACAATAATTCATCAGTGTCTGGAGCTCAAGAGCCAGAGGTTTGCTGAGGGCCAAATTTGGTCTTAGGTCCCACTTTAATGAGCCGTGTTACATAATGCAGACTGGCCTTTAAAAGAATTATACACTCTCTACTGTAGCTGCAACAAAGGATCTATCTTACTCTTTTATTTTCTCCATAAGATGTAGCATTTGATTGAATTACCACATTTTTTACCCACAAATTCTGTGATGCATCATCTGTAGAAGGTAAAATAATGGAGGTTACATCGTTGCACAGGTGTTGGACCTTAGACGAACCCGAGACAGAGTTCAACATGCCACCAGCTGTGACTCAACATTTCTCATGGGCAGCAAAGAGGGGCCCGTCTTTGACGCCCTGGCTGCCATTGTCTGTCTTCCCAACAGCCATAAATCCCTTTCTATTTCAGATCACATGCCAAAGGGGTCACACACCATAGCTTACTCCGTTCCACAAACCCTCCCCCCCTCTGTTGCACACAACAAAGCTTACAGGCAACAGGTGGGCCCTAATTTTGGGCTGTGCCACCTGAGTCAGTAGTGTAGGTGTGGTTAGGGAAAGTTTGTCGGGAGTGACGGTATGTGTTCAAGGCGGAGATTAGGGGGTGTGTTGTGGGAGGGTTGCACTGGGCGGGAAAAGTACAGATCTGCCAAAGAGCTCAGTGGAAAGATATCCGCTCCACATCTCTCAATCAAATGATTCAAGCCCACCCCTTGCAGACACACCCCCACCTCACGCCACTCTCTCCTTGGAGCCCTTTTCCTTTTCCTGCCCTCATACGCACATTGAAGAAAGAGAGGCAGAACCTGACACCCTCTCATCCAAAGCCAGGGGCCCCAAGCACAGTCGTGTGTGTGTGTGTGACTCTGACTAAATGTAGAGACACTTTACACCATCAGAACAGTGGCGTAGAGCCCCTACCAACATAGTTTAAGGGTTCATGTGCGCAACCAGGGGGCAGACAGAGATGATTGTATTACATTTCCAAAAAGTATCACATGAATTCATACAGGGAGAGCCAAGAACAATGATATAACTACAAATACAGACTTGTAAAATACTATAAAGGAGCTTAAACACACAACCTTGCTCCATGCAGTTAATATCTTCTTACCAAAAACACCTTTCAGCCCTATTTCATAAAGCAAAATGTCACCTGTGTTGTCCCCAAACTGGAGATGTCAGCCAGTGTGTGTTTTACTGTTATCTGAAACAAAAAGTCACGCACACACACACACACACACACACACACACACACACACACACACACACACACACACACACACACACACACACACACACAATGTGACTGCCCTCTGCACCCAAGTGAAGTAGAGCAGCCCATGTAAATACTGTTCCTCCTTGTCATAACATGTTGGTGTGTGTGTGTGTTTGTGTGTGTTTGTGTATGTTTGTGTGGTTGGTGGGGTCAGCTGGTTCAAAATCATGTTCCAGTAAACTGAGTCCTGTGATGGATGGCAGGTGTGTTGCACTGTATGGTTAGTGTCAGCGTGTGACAGGCAACACACTGAATGTGAAATCATATGTTCAAAAACCTCCGACATAAAGGTCAGTGATGGGGATTATTGTACAGATACCATGTCTGTACATTACATTATATATTAAAGTGTCACTCCTCTGGGTTAATCAACTAGCTGCTCCATAAATAATGTAACATTATGTGACAGGATGCAGTGAAAAGGTTGGATAAACTGCATAATATCAACCGTCATTTCACAAAGTTTAAAAAGAGAAGTGCCAGTTTATTAGAATAACCAAAATATAATTAGCAATATGCTGACTGTAGCCTTACATTTACCATACAGAGTTTGTTTGGTATCAATCTTCTCATCTAACACTCAAAAAGTAAATAAATGTATTTTATAAATGACAGACTGTCAAAAACTAGCAAAAAATGTATTTGGTCCTTTAAAACAAGATACAGAAACTTTGTCAGTCTCGAACAAATTCGAAGGTCAATCTGTTTTAAGAAAGATCTTCCTACCAGATTAATTGTGAAAAATTAATTCTTATACGTGTATGAAGCTCTCTGGTGTATTCTGGACTGAATCCCTGTAGCCTTGGTAACCACTGGAAAGCAAAACACACCCACACACATCATGCAGCTTCTTGTTCTGCCTCATGACGTGCACACTACAAGAAAATATCAGATTACATGTTACATTAGTCCGATATTCTGGTGCAACAGTAATCCTGCAAAGTCTCTTCTCCCTCTCTGCCCTGGTCTTGTTCTCTTAGACCTCACTATTGTATCTATATGCAGTGCCACCGGGATCGGGTTCATAGTGGACTCGCTGGCACCATCATCACATTCACTCAAAGGTCAAATAGCCACCTAGCCCCAAAGTGGCACCGATAGCCGCCACGCACCCAGACAGACGAGAACGCTCTTTTGATGAGGCTCTTGCCAGTTCAGGAGAGGATACCAGCAGCGTGGTCCGACACAGCTGCAGGCTCCTCGAGGAGGTCCTGCTCAGAGTTTCTGGTCCCAGTTGGTGTTTATCTAATCAGCAAAGGGGCATTTGAAAGGTGATGAGAGGCGACGTCATCCAGCATGTTCGAGCAGATTATAAAAATCATTAAACAGTGTGAAACTGACCATTTTAAAGACCTCCTTCACACAGAAATGTGTTTTTCTTATTGATCCTACAGTTGAATGTTTAAGCTTTTACTCTACAGAAGGATGTTTTCACATTCATCTGCTCAAAGTAGAAAGTTTCTCTATGCTCATTAAACAATCAGATTTTTTTGTGACATCACAAATAGCTTGGAAACCAATCCTGGTTCAATTTACAACGCACATACAGCTGCATTCACATGGATTCAGGAAAAACTACACAATGTTTACACTATATCAATATTAATGTATAATATCTATGTGTATACATGTATATCTGTTCAGTCATCATATTGTATATACATATTATTATTATTATATTATTATAAATATTATTAATATATATATATATTATATACTGTTATTAACAATTACCCCACTACCATCATGTCATCAGTACTAGTACCACCATCTTGCAACTAACTTACCTACCTTTTTATCTTTTATACTTTTTTTAAATTTTCTATCCAAGTATTTTATTCTATTGTTGTATTTTATTCTATTGTATTTTATTGTATTTTAATGTACCTGGCTGCTATAACGATCCAATTTTCCTTCGGGGATTAATAAAGTCTATCTATCTATCTATCTTCTATCTATCTATCTTCTATCTTTTCTTCTATCTATCTATCTATCTATCTATTCTATCTATCTATCTATCTATCTATCTATCTATCTATCTATCTATCTATCTATCTATCTACAAGCATGATGGTGATGTTGCCATGGTGAAGTCGTATTGTTTACCAAAAAAAAAAGAAATGTAATTATTTCATGTCATTTATTAATTAAGTCGTGGAGCACAAAATTTAAGCATTAAAGTAGAGTACTTTATATATATATTTTAAAACATGTGTGGAGGGGATCTTTAAACTCTATCTACAGCATTAAGGTAGGACTGTCCTAAACCACGCAGGAGGAAAACATCCCTGTCAGTCCTCGAGTGAGACTGTGACCCTGCCCGCTCCAGGGACGCCACTTCAAAGCTGACCTCTGACCTCCCTGGAGAGAGAAAGAAGCAGGGGTGTAATGTGGGTTCAGCCCTCAAAGACAAACTCAAACACAAATCGCTGTAGTCGAATGAAAACCTTTGTCAGCTTTACAGGAACTAAAACAACAACTGACTGCTGCATTTTTGAGTTTAGTAATTATTGGGAAAATATTGTAATTGGAGATACATCTTCTTCATTGGACAACAACAACAGCTTGTTGATGGGGTTAGTACACCTTAAATTACTGTGTCAACATCTGGACACATAATAGATCCTTCAGGGGAACAGGGTCAACACAGTTTCTATCATCCTGAGTCTGGTAATTTGTTATTTTGCATATATATAACAGTTTATTAAAAATTTGGAGGGTTTTCTAATTATTTTATAGTATCATTAAACACAAGTGGACATTTATGTTGATATCACCCTGCATGACGTCAGTGTGGATAAAACTCAGTCAGCAGTTCCTCGTCACGTCATCATGTTGCCTTCAGGTGCTCAGCAGAAGTAGGTCTATGTTAGGTTACTGAAGTTTTTTGTAGTCAAGTCAGCTTTATTTGAAGCAAACATCACATACAATATTGCGGTCTGTCCTGGCCCACAGTTAGCACCAGTCCCTGGCCTTTTTTTTTTATTTGGTTAGAAAAAAGGGCAATAAAATTAAGTAAATCTAAAGTTTAGCAACATGAGAAAAGTCCATAATAAGTGGTTTAGAGTCTAAATGCGACACTTAGATTCAAGCTCTACAGCCCTTTATACAACAGTAATGTATAATGGCAATATAATATAAAATATGTATAAATAGTAAGTAATAAGTCCTAAGTATTGCATAAATTTACTGCGGCAGTACCACATCAAATAGTATTGCTTATTCTCCAAACAAGCACTAAAACAAATAAAAACACGTTAATCTATAGCCTGAGTAGCACTAAATAAACAAATCTTAACCCCCTGAAGTAGATGTACAGTACTAATACACAGCCACATCCAATACAGCTGTCTGGAGTTATACGCTGGTCCTTGAACGCAGCAGTCGTCTTTCGCGACGTTGCGTTTTCGTACGTCAGAAGCAGGACGCTCTGTGATTGGACGGTTCGTCGGGGTTAAATAACGCGCCCCTCTCCTCTTCCCCGTTCTGTGGGAATCCCCGACAACGTGCTCCGCGGTGCCTCAAAATATTTAGACTTTATCGGCTGTGTGTTTGTTTGTTTGTTTTGCTCCTCTCCCCGAGTCACCACTGACTCATCTCTGTCGAGCAGCAGCAGCGGGACATACAAGGTAGCTGTGTGGTCGTACGGCCCCCTCTTTCGTTAGAGCAGCAGAGCCGAGAGCCGCGTATTTGTCCGATAAAGGAAAGTTTGACGGCGGTTCGACCCCCGGACGTAGCGCTAACGTTTTTAGCTTGGTATGCTAACGGTTAACACGAACAACGGCTGTGCGCTATAAAGTGTAGCCGAAACCTTGTTAACACAGTCGATAGTTATTCGCCTCCACTCACACTTTGACTTGTAGTTGAGTTTATAAATGTCGAGTTATTGTCAAAAGTAGAGACTCAACGGTCGAAGGGAGCTAACTTCACTAGCTTCATTCAGTTTGTGCAGCTAGGCCTCAAAGCGTGACAGAAAATGGAGGCGAGCTAACGTCGGCAGGATGAATGGTGTTGTGTTTGTTTGGCTGCTTGTGAAGTCACTTAACTAGGTTTAATTTAAAACTGTATGTGTGTGTGAAACATGGCTGTCTTTATGGTAGTTTGTGTTTTATTAAACAGTAGTTTAGACAAGATAATGTTAACATTAGTCAGCAGTTCTCAGGGAGGGAAAACGAGGCCTAACTATTTATTTCTTCTTAACTTCAACCCGCATTTCCTGTGTGGCACCAAACAAGGCTTTATGATCGATTAATTGGCCATTTATCAATACTTAAATCTGTCATTCCCTGGTCCCAGCCTCTTAAATCTGTGGACTTACTTATATTATTGTTTTTAAGTCATTAGAAGTCAAATATGTTTGGATGTTTTTGGACATAAACTATTTAGAAACGTCACTTTAGGCTTTTTCTGTCTTTTTTTTTATTTTTTATAGGCTAAAATAATTCAATCAGAATTTGCTGCAGTAGGTAACCCTTTATAAAAATAACTCTTTGTTATGTTTGAAACTTTAAATGTTTTCTAATAGTAGTTCATGAAACCGATAACCTGTGATAATCAGCTTTCTCTGACTTGTTGTGGCGCTCTTTTCTGCGTTTGCAAGAATCCACCAGGCCTGGATCAGAGTCAAGAAGAAAGACTCATTGGGTTGGCAGATTTTAAGATGGTTGATTGTTGTCTCATTCCCAGGATCAGTATTTAACGACCCGGGAGTGAGACTCTACAAACAACTATCTTTATTGACTCTGATTGTTTTTTTGCTCAAACCCGGTGGATTTTTTTAAAAAGAAGTTACCTACTGAAGCTTAAATTGTATAACTAATGGTTGCCCAAAATATTAGTTATATACACTACTTCAGTAGCGTTGAGGGAACTAGTCAAATGGAGGGTTTGGCAGAGATCTTGATGTTACGTACCTCGTTAGTCTAACACTAATTCTCTCTTCCTCTTGTTCCCCTCCGTACGCAGGCGTCTTGGCTCTTCCATATTTTCTCTCCGCTGGGAAAGGGGGAAATTAAATGATGGAAGAGCAAGATTTTGAAAATTTGTCACTGAGCCAGCCCCTGCTGAGCCAGTCCTCCTTTATAGAGCTGTGGGACAGCGTGTAAGTTGAGTTTTAATGGTTCGATTTAAAACAATACAGTTTACTCCAGGAAAAAACAAATTAACCCATTAGTGTATGTTTGTTTTTGTAGAGTCACTCCCTCCATCTCTACCATTCCTACGGTGACTGGTGTTGAAACATGGGGGACGAATGGAAACATGGAAGCGCTGGTAAGCAATGAGTATTCATGCCATTGTTTATAAAAACATTAGATTACATTTCTGCACAAGTGTGTTTATTTTATTATTTTTTTTAGATATTAAACTCATCCCTCTTATTTCACAGCTTATGAATGATCAAGCGCTTGCTGAAAGATTTGATGAGAATCTGTTTGAGCTGCCTCCAGAGGTGCCCTCTAGAGATGGTGTTACTCCCCCGGCCTCCACCGTCCCGGTTACATCCGACTACCCAGGGGAATACGGCTTCCAGCTTCGCTTTCAGAAGTCGGGCACGGCAAAGTCTGTCACTTCGACTGTAAGTAATACCAGGCTCAAAATTTAGAAATTCACCTTTTGTTGATGTGTTTTTATTTATTCTGATTGGTGGTTTAAATTATTTCAAACAGTATATTTACCAGATAACTTGTATCTGTTATCATATCAGAGACAAATTACTGCACATAGTGTCTAATTTTGACAGATTTACACTTAAATACTAAACTACAAAGTTTAATTGGCAGCTTATTATCCTGCAACCAAACATGGCAAGGAAGCAGGCGTTTGCTGTTTGAGCTCCTCGCCAGAGAACAAAAGGGATTTCCACAGCTGCTCAGATTTGAGGCGCCATTCACTGTTCAACTAAGAACTAAGTTTCTCACATCCAGTGTAATTTTCATAGGCAGAAACTCCTCCTCCTGTCATGCATTATATTAATTGAATAAATTATATTCAACTCAACTACACAGACATTTAAAATTTTCAGGTTTGTAATTAAAAAGGTTTTACTTTAAGTTTTTAATCACCCACAAAATGACTTAAAATGAGTAAAACACAGAAAACGTCTTCAAGAAACATTAAATTAAATCTTACCTTGGCGCCGCGTTAGAAAAAAGTTATTTCGTATCTCTCATGGTGGCTTTCTTGTGGAATCTAATTCATTCTGACGATTCGCTAAAATTTAAGGTCTAGAGTCAGTCACTGAGTTTGAAGAGCCAATGGTATTAATGTGTCCACGGTGACTCACCCAGCACCGTGCTGCAGTTGGCCAGTTTAGTTGAGGTTAGGGTGGCCCTGAAACTCCCGCCCCCTGCGACTTGTCCTCTGTGGGAGAGGTGCAGTCTGGTTGTAAAGCTCAACTCTGACATGACGGGACATGTTCCTGCGCTGTCTTCCTCCAGCACGAAAGGGTTAAAAACGGATGGAAGCAAGGTAAAAACTAAATTCTTTTAATTTGATAAATCTGGCCTTTCTTATTTAGAGAACTTAATATGTAGTTTTGATTCTTTAGAAAGAGTAGTTTATTTTATTGAACTTTAAGAATAGTGTTTGAGTCTGACAGTTCTCAGATCAGTGTTTGAGTCTTCACATATGTACTCACAGCTCTGGCTTTTTGCCTGTGCTTTCTCTCAGTTTTCGGAGCAGCTCAACAAGCTCTATTGCCAGCTAGCAAAGACCAGCCCAGTTGAAGTGCTAGTGAGCAAGGAGCTTCCTGCGGATGCCGTCATCAGGGCCACGGCGGTTTATAAGAAGACGGAGCACGTGGCCGAAGTGGTCCGCAGATGTCCCCATCACCAGAATGAGGACGGTAAGGAAAACGTTTTAGTTAAAAATCGGCTTTTATGTACAGTGGAAGAATCAGATTGTGAGCACAATAGATCTGAGGTGACTTAAATTCTTTCTTTTCCGTTCAGCTGCTGAACATCGCAGCCATCTGATCAGGGTGGAGGGCAGCCAGAGAGCTCAGTATTTTGAAGATACGCACACAAAGAGGCAGAGTGTGACTGTCCCATACGAGCCTCCACAGGTACAACTGCCCCACTCGATCTGTCTGAGGGGGAACTGTCTACTCTTTCTACAGCAGTTATTTTTACCCATTCACACTTTTTAATGTGACCTTCAAGCGTTTTCTATGTGAGTATATGAACAGTGTGTCACATTGATGTTATGTTTTAGCCTTAAAATTCAAATGTTCGATGTACAAAAAGAACGTGCAGCAAAAATAAAAACATTGGCTGCATTATAAACGCCCAGAACAGTCGATGAGCAGCTTAGTTTGTAGTGGATTTTCTGAATGAGAACTTTTGTCAAAATATTACAATCTTTTATTAAGACTGACTGGTGTAGTAGCATTTTCCCTCCCTAATTTTATACACTTTAAACAGCAGTGAATAGAAAGTGTTTCGCTCTTCCTCTTCCAGTTGGGCTCAGAGATGACAACCATCCTGCTGAGCTTCATGTGCAACAGTTCCTGCATGGGGGGCATGAACCGCAGACCCATCCTCACTATTCTGACCCTAGAGACTCCAGAGTAAGTCTTGCTGCTCTTTTACCAGATATCTTGATGTATCTTCTGTGCATAGAGAAGAGGTAGAAACATACATCTTCTGTGTATGCTGTAAGGATGTCCCTGTTGAATCGTGTATTATAGTTCTTATAACTTTGGGCAGCGTAGGAAAGCATTTTGACCCCTCTGTTCATCCTCCTAGGGGACTTGTTTTGGGCCGGAGGTGCTTCGAGGTGCGTGTCTGCGCATGTCCGGGCAGAGACCGCAAAACAGAAGAAGCAAATAGTGATAAGATGCAGAACGGCACCAAACAAACAAAGAAAAGAAGTGTGTTCTTGTTGCATCGCCAAATATTTCAGTTTCCCTCCCTGTTGCTTTCACCTTGCTAACCTCCTTTTTTGCTTCTTTAGAAAGCGCCCCAACTCCTGACACGACTTCAGTGAAGAAGTCAAAGTCGGCCTCCAGTGCAGAGGAGGAGGACAAGGAGGTCTTTGTCCTTCACGTAAGTAAAGATACATACTGTTGTAGAGCTGGACGTCTTTAGAAAAATGCTGTTGGATTAATTCGATCTCTCGTGCAGGTTCATGGTCGTGAGAACTACGAGATGTTGAAGAAAATCAACGATGGTCTGAAGTTGCTGACCAAAGAGAGGTAAGTGGAGCATCCAGTAACTTTGCATTAAAACAGCCTGAATCACTTTCAGTGGACTAAATGTCTAATTTAAGTCTTGAAGAATATCTCAGAATGATTATTGAGAGTTTTAAATTAAACCCACGTTGTTGTGAACATGTCTGGTTTTAATCTGAACTGCTGTAGTCTGTATGGATCTGCCACTAGAGGTCACTGTGGTTAATATTTATGTTTAAAATGTCTGCAAACACGGTTCAACTGAGGTTTCGGAAATACTTCTATTACATATATCACTCCACATAACTCAGATCATACTATCTATGGTGTACTGTAGACTGTTATATTATCAGTGACCTAATGACCTTCACCAAAGTGTGTTTAGGTTATATAATGGTATTATGTGAGTTATTTTTTTTGTATTTACTGAGTTCTCTTGAATAAAGAACAGTGAATCATGTCTTCTGTGATTGTCTTTAAGTGTTTACTTTGGACATTTGAATCCAGATGCACAACATTATATCAGGTGAAACACTAAAAGAAAAATACCAAGAACAGGTCATTTGGTTCACACACACAGACACAAGTGCATTATAAATTTCAGTATTGTGTGTCAACTCAAATAAACAAAGTCTTTCCCACTTATCGCCCTTATTTCTGAGTTTGTCCTGGTTTCTCTCCACAGCAAGACCAAGACCAAGGTGTCAGTGAAGCAGGAGTTTGCTCTGCCTTCCAGTGGAAAGAAACTCCTGCAAAGAGGAGAGAGGAGCGATAGCGATTGAGAGGCTCGTTTTGATCATGAGAACCAACGGCATGTCTTTGTCCCTCCAAGCAATCGGGTTTATTTCAGGTTTTAATTCGACAATGGAACCCCAATCACAATCCTGCCTCAGTTCCCCCGGAAACTTGATTCAGTGACTTGCTGTTTTTGACATATGCAAATAAAGATTATGCAGAGGAGGGCAGTTCATACTGTAAACAGGTCTGCCGCCTCCTCCTCCTCAATACCCCTCATCGCGTTTAAAAGTCTGTGAAATAGCTTTTGAGAGCTTTAACTTTCTCAGCGTTTGCATGAAACAGGATATGAGGGTGGGACTTAGCATTGGGAGGGTCTGCACTCAATCAGTGTTAATCGTGGCAGGGAAACTCATTTGAGTTTTAATGATTACATTTTTAAAATTTGTCATGTCACTTATAATGCATTATTTGTACTCCAGTTTATTTTCTTTTCTCTCTTTTTTTTAATAACATTTGTATGTTTAGTACAAAATAGTAATTATGGTAATTTGGGTTTTTAAGAAAAAGCATTTGGCCAAATTAGTTTTTATCTTTTATACGAGTCACTGCCATTCGCTTGAGAAAGTGTTTGTAAAACTTGAATGGATGTTTACCTCCATTATCGTAGCTGTATTACTGTCAGTGGGGCTCTTTATATTTTTTTTGTACTCCATTTTTATATATAGTTCAGTACATAAAGCTGTAATTTCTTTTTTTTTTTTAATCCAAGGATCAGTTATTTTCTCGTCAGGATCGCCTCCGATTAAACGGTGATGATTCTGCTCGCAGGGAACATGTTTTGTCATGATTATTTTTGTGAAAATTAACAGTAGATTTGGTAGTTGAAGGGCTGGCTGGATCACCCCAAAACCTAATCACCTTTTAGTATTTGTACCGTCTTATATACGGAAGAAAGTGTTGGAGGAAGAATAAGTGGAATTTTGACATGACCATACAGGAAATGCACAATTTAACCAGGAACTCCTTATTTAAAAAATAATTAGGATGTGTTTTGAGGTTAAAGCCCCTCGGTTCAGATACTGAGAACTACTGCCTGTCTGTCAGGATGCCCCCGCTGTGATCTGATTTTACATTTCCGTTTCTGCCCCCACCCACAGACCATGCAACTTGTTTAGCGCTTCAGTTTGATGTGACCAATCACTGTTGAGGCAAAACCACTTTTTTTACACTGCCAAAAAAAAGTATATTAAAGGCATTTCTTTGTTTTATTTCTGTAACTTTATAGATTATTTTGGGAACTTAGTTTTGTATAAGAGGTTTATCTTTCTATTTTTTCATTGTCATTTTTTTTCATGGCTTTATGTAATAATTTGCATTTTGTTTTCCACAGCTTTGATACTAAATAAACATACTTGTAACATAGAACTGTGTGTTCTGTCTTTGCGTCATTTGTTACAACCCTCCCCCTCGTTCACTTTGCATGTTTGGAAGATGGATGCAAAACCAGTAGCTTGGAAAGGTATTCTGTCCCGAGTTGAATGGAGCCTTGTGTTGCCAGTCAAATGTGCTTATTACCTGTTGATCTACAAACAGACTTATTTGTGTTTTATGAACTCCTCTCATACCGAGAGAGATCAGATCACTGGCAGCATCTGTAGCCTGGCTGAGCAGTGAGACAGTTTTAACTTGATGTAGTGTGAATGGATTTCCTTCGCTCCCTACTTGTTTAAAACTTTGTTTTGAAGTAGCTGAGTCTACAGGAATCTCAACATGGATAAAGTCTTTATTTTGATTTGTTGGGGTGAGTATTATTTTCTCAATGGTATTCATTTGTAGCCAGTATGCAGCAATTTGATCATGATTAATTGTTCTCTGCATGAAGTGTCAGACGCACTTTGGCTGTTTTTTTATTGATGAATGATTTGATGATTTTCAAACTGGGGTCTGGTGACCAACAGGAATCCTTTGTACTCTGAAGACTATTATCTTCAAATCTAAAGATTATAATAAAAAAATACTCACAAAATCCTCTCCAACTATGTTCTAATGTGTGTCTATTGATTACCTCTGGATTAATGAGTCATCAAAGTTGATCAGTATTATGTCGACTGATGTTACAAGAGCTAACTTAAAATGTTAAAGGTAAGTACATATACTGAAAATGTGTAGTTATTAATCATATTGTTCTGACTGGTATACACAGTACATTTAAGGATTGATTGATTTTTACGTCATAAATTAAAGATTTTGGTTAGTTGGGGAAAAAAAAGCAATTTAAAGACATCATCACCTTGAACATTTTTCAATATTTTATTTTTTATTTAAACTGAACTTGACTAAACAATCAAGAAAATAATTGTCAGATTAATGAAAGTGAGCGTTAGTTGCAGCTCTGTGTGGCTTTCATTTTAATGTCAGTTAATCTGACTGACTGTGGCACTAAAACTGAACAAGTAGTTAGCTAGTTACTTATAAAATATATATTTATTACTCATTACTTATTGGTCCCTGCCAACAGTGATTAGTTACACTACTTTATTAATATCTGTTTTGTTTGTTAAAATCAAATCAACTACTTTCCTCCACGATTACAAAGGGTGTGGTTGGATTGTTGGATTTCAAATCAGTAAGGGGTGACAACAAAAGTAAGACTGTAACTAATTATTTTTGGCCAGAGAAACTGTAATAATATTACTAAAATATATAAGTAATTAGCTACACTACTTGTTACTGGGGAAAGTAATGCCTTACTGTCCAACACTGGTTAGCAGTGACTTCATCAATGCAACTGAATTTTGTAATGAAATTGACCAAGAAACACTTCTTATTCTCCAAAATACTGACCTGTCATATCTGCTACGTCTATGTTTCTCCTCAGCTCTGATGCTGACACACAGCGCTGCAAAGCAACAGTACTTCCCTCAATCCAAGAATCTCACCTGGGATGAGGCCAGGACCTACTGCCAGGTACAACATGAACCTCAGTTTTACGTACAAAAAGAGGTTGTTGTGGCATATGTGTGTTTAATTATATAGCTGTCAAGTTAAAAGTGGTGTTGTGTTCAGAGTTAGTAATTATTCCACTTTGGTTTCACATTGCTAACTTTGAATTAAATTATCAACAGCTGATGGATAAGTATAGTAGATCCTCATCAGCACTGACTGAAGGACCTGAACAACTCCACAAACCTCATAATGACCCCTGAGTGGAACTACTACTGTCAAACATTGACTCTCTCGTGTTCTTTCAGATCTGTTTCAAAGATCTGGTGACGCTGACTCCTGAAAACATCAAAATCATCGTTCAGAAACTCACCTCTGACCACTGGATCGGCCTCCGCAAGAACTTCTACTCCACCGCCTACCACACTAGCAACTACCCAACCAACCCCACCAGCAGCTACCCAAGCAACTTTACCAGCAACTCCACCAGCAACTACACCTTTAGTTCCACCATCAACCCCACAACTATCCACTCCACCATCCACTCCACCATCCACTCCACCATCAACTTCACCATCAACTCCACCAGTAACTCCACCAGCAACGCCTCCACCAGCACCGCCCTGTTCTGGTCTCGCTGGGCCAACGGGGATCCCCTCACCTTCCAGAACTGGTACCCTGGTTGGCCCGTGTTCAAATCCTCCTTCCCAAGAAGAGACTGCTGCAGCTGCTCCTGCACCTGCCCAGCAAGGCCAACCACAACAATGCCAAGCTACACCAGATACACAGAATTCACCACCTCAAAGGTGACAAATTTCAGCCAAATGACACAAAATTCAACCGAAAACGTGACAGGTGTTACTAATCTCTCGGACTCCAGCGTCACAAATGACCCCAGTTTCACCGGACTGAGCGGAACTGGAACTGAAGATGTGACAGATGTTACTGGACTGTGGGGATCCAGCACCCAGAACGAGACCACCGGACTGAGAAGAAACACAACCGTTAATGTTACAGAAGTTACCACCCCGGTATTTACCACAGCTACCCCCACTAAGCCCATGACGACCATGCTACCACCAATAGAATCAGAGTGCATGCGATCGCCTATGCTGTTCCCGGATGTCCCCGACCCTGATGAGAACTATATTGAAGACTCTTGTGTGGCCATGCTCAGCAGTGGGGCTTGGGTTGAAAAGTACTGCTGGGAGCTTCTACCTTTTATATGTTATGAGGGTAAGACTCACGTAAAGCCTCTGTGATGATGATTCTTGTTTGATTTTAGATCTCACACAGTCCAAGAATAACTATTATACATGACTTGTGCAGGGCAACTGTACTCAGCACTGTACCCGAACATTACATTAAATCTGCTCTTTATTTCTAATAATTTCCATAAACAGTACATCACAATACAAAAAGAAAACAACCATAGTTACAATTTCAGCACACATATTAAGATCTTGTTTTGTGTATACATACACATTTATTTAGCTGAATTATGCACTTTTCTGTGATTATAATTACCTAGTTTTGATGATGATACAGAAACTTTATTATATTTAAGGGAAGTGAAAATGTTTTTGGAAGGAAATATTTAAAATTATTTTCTTTTAATTTGTCTAGATAAATAATCTTCTGGTGTGTTTGTCTCTGTATTGTTTAAATAAGATTTATATAACTCATTTATTTATTTATTGATATTGACATATTTTATCCTCCTTATATCAAGATACTAAGTCAAAACAGACACCAACTTCCATTGCAATCCATTGTGTGGATCCGTGTAGCCACAGGTCTCAACAAAAAGAAGCCTAAATACATCTAGCAAACATTTCCACAAAGTTTTTGAACAATAAGATTATTTTAAAGGAAAAGACAAAAGAAACTTAGTAAAGATAAATAACAATAACAATCACAATGTGACCAGCCAACAGATAAATGAAATAAATCTACAAATGCTCACAAAAAGAAGATTTCCAAGTGTGGAAGTAAAGGTGTCTGATGTACACCCTGGTTTATTCAGAATCATACACCACTCTCTATTTCTGTGTTTGTACCTCTGTGGACGTCTCTGGTCTCTGGTTCCAATTCAACTTCTTCATCTTATTTCCAGATTATTTCGTAGGCGAAGCCAACGTGACCAACGTGACTTCAGAGAGTGCCGTCCTCACATGGCTGTCCGCCCCCGGTAACATCAGCCATTACCGCTTAGAGGTCAAAAGCGACAGAAAAGTGACAGAAAATGTGACTGTTCTGACGGAAAATGTGACTGTTCTGATGGAAAATCTGACTGTTCTGACCTACGACCTTTTCAACCTGACAGCAGGCGCGCGTTACTCAGTCCAGGTGTTCCCTGTTAAGTGTCAGAGAGACCTCAACCCGCAGGAGAGGGCCTTCTACACCAGTGAGTTTGCCTTCTTCTGTAACATCTGACATTAAGATAAAACATGTCACACAAATACAAGTTAGAAATTAAAAAACTAAAATTAAAACAACTTTAGAACAACAAAAAGTAAAACCTTTCTAAAGAGTGGAATATGCAGGTTAACTCCTTGTGTTCGATTGGTTCCTGCTCAGATCAAACGTGTGATTAATCATGTGATTGTTTGAAAGCTGCTCTTAAAGTTTACTCTCACACCTGCTGTAATAGTAAAGTAGCTGGATAGGGTATGTCTTAACTCTGTAACTCTGTTTTAGTCTTAAATTGAGTCTTTAGAGCTGCAGTATAATAATAATTTTGTGTCCAAAATCATCAATAATTAGCCTGATGTGGGCAATCATAAAGAAGAATAAAATAATAATGCAAACACTTGGCTTGTAACCCTGATTATATCTCTCTTTTTTTCAGTACCTAACAAAGTCAAAAACCTCCAAGTCACCACAGTGACAGAAACCTCTATCACCCTGAGCTGGAGTAAACCAGGAGAATTGGATTTCTATACTATTAAGGGTACGGAGGGTATGCAGATTCAGACAACGGCAGAGACCACTGAGCTCAAAGGTTTGATACCTGGGAGCCCTTACACATTCTCCGTCATCTCAGGAGTGATGGACAAGTCCCAGTGGAGTGAAGAGTCCAACATCACAGCATACACCAGTGAGTTTGTATCACATATAACAAATAAAAGGATTATAACGCCTCAGAGAACGTATGTCGCTGCCTGTTACTCCTAATGCGCCTTTCTCTATGGACAGAAGGAAGCATTTGATACAGAAGAAAGTACACAGTCAAAGCACATCAAAAGCTTATTCAGGTTTAAATGAGGAAAAGGTTTATAGCTGGTATTTTTTTGCACACATAAAATGAAATTCAAATCAGCTGAGGCAAATTAGAGTTGCATGTAAGATTGTACTTTGGATTATTGTCAGTAAACAGAGCGATGTTTCGTCTGTTCTCTCTTTCAGAACCGGAGAAAGTGTCCGACCTGCGCGTGTCTGAGAATACCAACAACTCGCTGCTGCTTACCTGGAAGCTATCTGTGGGGGCTGCCACAGGTTTCATAGTGAAGGCTATGAATGACCGTGATGGGTATGGACTTCTAGATAGTCCATAACTTATTTACTTATTTGAAATCAGTTATGTTTACAGTGATGTTTGTTTTTAGCGGTGCTGCTGCTGCCTGCTGCTCCATCCACAGCTTTGGTTGAGACTGAGCTCTCAGGTTCACATTTTGTGGTTTTTATGAAACATCTTAACAACTACCAGATGGATGGTGACTAGGTACAGACACTAGGTACAGACATTCAACACACCCCAGGAGAAACTCTAACAAAGTTGGTGATCCCTTAAATTTTAATCTAGTACTGTGAAATTTCGAAGTATGAAATTGTTCAGTACTTTGGTTTATGACCAAAGGCCTGCAAGACTAATGTCATTCCCATCAGCCTAAGCTCCACCAGTTAATGCTAATTAGCAAATGATAGCACACTAACAAGCTAAGCTAAGATTGTGAAGCATTAGACCTGCCATAACATGTTAGTATTATCTAACTATTTCATTTGGAGGAAAAGCTGAGAGTGAGCGCAACTGAAACATTGGTGGTAGAGTTGATCCAGGGAGTCGTTTCGTAAATTGTGATGGATACTTTTATCTTTTTCTTTCATTTTCTTTTCATAATAAATCTGTCTAACTCGGAGTTTATTTAAAATCTGCAGTCATCTTATTGCTTGTGTTTCTCACCCCTTCTGACTTTTGAATTGTCCCAGACAATGAAAATGAGACCCAAGTTGTAATGCACTGGTATTATCTTTTAATTGTTGAGATGCACAGTTGCCTCTTAAATGACATAACTGTTTCTCTTCCTAACAGCACATTGTTTGATGAAGTGGTGAACCAAACCACCGTGAGAGTCACTGGGCTGCCGATGGGCACCAAGATAACCCTCAGCGTGACAGCAGTGGCCAATTACACTCTGGAGGGAGACAAAGTGACCGTTGTCAGCTACACCGGTAACTCTGAGCTAATGGTTTTGTTGTTGTTGTTGTTGGTCAGTAGAGGAATAAATCATTCGCAGGAACAGAACATTAATTAAAGTCATTAATCGGACTTTGTGACTCCTACATAGCTCCTGGACCAATTTCAAACCTGACGTTGACTACAACAGAGAACACCCTCACTGCTAAATGGGATCCTCCTACGGGTAATTATTCAACTTTCACCATCACGCTGCAGCTGGAAGGCAAAGTTGTAGATAGTTCAACCAACCTAACAAAACCTGAGAAGACTTTTAACGATCTGAAGAATGGAGGCAATTACAAAGTGATCATCAGCGCTGTCAGTGGAACTTTCAAAGGCCCACCGGAGGAGAGCTCAAAATTCACACGTGAGTCCTTAACATTTCAGTCCTGGTGCGATTAGGCGACACCTGTGGTTACCATGGTAACGGCAAGGAGGAACCACATCGACACTGACCTCTGTGACAAATATAAAGCATTTCATGTGACTTGCCAATAAAAGCCAGCCAGTGTTTTGCCAGTTGAATGCTTTTAATATGAAGCAGCAGTGAGAAATGTGCAGTTAGCATTACAGCTCTGACATTAGGAGAGTGAACAGTAAACAGTGAAGCTGGATTACATGCTACCACATTTCTTGTGACCCCCTTGTGCAATCCAAATGCTGCAGTCAGTGGCGTACCCCGCCACTAACAATGAAAGCTATCATATAGAGAGTTACACACAGAATGTAAATACATTTAATGGCTGTTGCTGACCTGACTGTCAATACCCTTGACTCCAAGATTATCTGATAAATTACTGCTTCATTTTCTTTCTTTTCCCCATTTTTCCAGTGCCGAATCGGCCTACTGATGCCAAGGTCACTTCCAGATTGAAAGATAAGCTCACGCTCGAGTGGAAGCCCCCTGCCAACTCGGCAACAGTCAATTACACTGTCAGTATTAACTCCACCTTCTGGGACTACACAATGTCTAAGAATGTTTTTAACGCAACCAGCTGCGAGTTTACTGGCTTGAAGTCCGGGACAAAGTACAACTTAAGAGTGCAAACAGTGGTGGGCAAATTATCCAGTTTGTCAGCAAGTGTATGTGAACATACAGGTAAGACCATACTGGTTGTTTTGCATGCTTTAGACTGTTAGCAACAAACTGTGTATACTTTGCCATTACCTTTTAATAAGCATAGCATAAGTTATTTTTTACTTTCAGGCAGCAATCAGTTTTAGTTTGCTGAAAATAAACTGGCAAAATCTTGAGAAAAACATTTTTGGTGCATTCAAGGAACCTCCAACATCTGAGGTTAGGGTTACAGGAAGACAAACAATTAGCAAACATGAAAAAGATGATAGGAATTATGTGTATATTCACAGATAATGTTGCTGTATGGCAGCAAAGCTTGAGGTTTGGAGCTTCCTTAAATGCAGTTAGCCCTTATATGCCTTCATGCTGGTGATAACCCTGGCCAGAGGCATTATGGGATAGCCTTCACGCCAGCCTGAATACACCAGATTATGAATGGAAAAAATCAGCGTAAATATTGTATGTTTGTTGAAAGTCCATCTGTAAAGAACTGGTAACTCAGGCGACGAAACAAACTGCGTCTGACCACAGTGGACATTATTTCTTCCTCCACATGCAAATTTTACAGCATAATGAGTGTGTGCTTCCTCGTTCTAGCTTCCTCCTCACACAGTCTCTGTTTGTTCCTCAGTTACAGAGGCAAGGGAAATCGGTCTGTCTATGATGTGCTCTTCAACAAAACCTCTCTACTGTGATAGCACAGAGAAGAGGGAAAAAGTATTTCAACAGGTATGTCAAACACCATATGTACATAAAAATAAAAACAAATACAGGGTTCTGGGGTAAACTTGAGCAAAAGGTGCTATTTTTATTCCTCAAGATGTTTCTTCAAATAAATAAATAAATGGGACATGCAGTGATTACTTGTGGCTCAATTTAGCGTTTTATATTTTAAAGAGTTGTTTTTAAAACTGTGTGGCCATTAACATCTTTCTTTCCTTTCCTCTGTTTTGTTGCAGTTGAAAGCACATTTTGAAAGTCTGTTCGGGGACAGTATAAGCTGGAAACTGGAGCAGGGTCAATCTAAAGGAAGCTGAAAACTCAAAGAACATCATATATATATATATAATTATTATTATATATTAAATATTAAATGTTAGCGGTGATGGTTTTTTCGATAGAAGTGTTTTCAGTCTTTTTGTTCTCAGAAGAATTAAGAAGTCATAATTGTTGATGTGACTGAATGTGAATTTAAATCAAATTACGATTCTTATTATGTGTATTGACTCTTTTATATTCTGAATTTTACTAATAAAAAGGTATAAAAAAAACTTTACTTTAGTATATTTCAGATTTTCTCCTACTTTTATTTACTTTATATATATATATATATATTTGTTCTCTGGTTAATTTACCGTGAGCATTTCAGTTTTTATCATGTTACTTTTTTAAAATATATTTTTTGTCTTGATATTGTTCCAAATGTGTGTCTGATGTTGTAACTAACTACATAAAAAATAAAACATTATAAATGATCAAACATTTCTTTCTATTGTTGCAGTGCTCAATAAAGTTTTCTAGCTGACACATCACAGCGACCTCGTTTAAAGTCTTAATTGAATAGAACATATAATACTATTACACTAAATACAGTTTTTGTGTAAGGTGAACTCCAACTTGACTGCTCTCTCCATGCACGTATTGTAAATAAGACAACATTTATAATGAACTATGGTTGCAGAAATGACCTCAGATAAATAACAGCCTTTGTATCATTACAATGTGGGTGGTATATGCAAATGAGCATGTTGCCTGCAGCCAGAGCTCCCTGCTCATTGTCGTCATCCTGCTGATTCATGCCAGCTCTACGGTGTCTGCTGTTCAAGCAACAGATTGTAATCCACAGTCGGATTAAGAGGGTACATTAAGTAAAACTGGTGATTATTAGCAGGATAAATAAAGTAAAAAATGATATACTACCATGCACATGTGCAGTGCACACACATTACAACACCACAGTTAATCGTATAGTCCCCAATTCATTATTATGGCCTCTTGTGAAAAAAATTAAATAAATGTTTTCACTTCACTGGGTGGAAATTTCACCTTTATTGTGTCTTCACAGCAGAAAAGGGAACAACATCACAGCACAGGGCAAGTTCTGCCTTCTAGCTGTGAAAATGGTCTCTAAGCTGCTGCCTGAAGTTGCTTCATGAAAAGCAAGTTTGTCCTTCAAAATAAACTAAGCAGAGGACATATTTGTGATTTCCATTTCATTTTCTACGGTTACATTGTTCTGTTGTCTTGTAGAATACGTAGAAGTCATCTCATTGATATTTCTTTTCTCTTCTATGCATATTTAGTATTGAGGTAGTCCTGTAGTCACTGACTACAGTGTGTTTTGTATGTTGTAGGTTTTCTACCTTTTGAGCAAAAGATAATACCACAGTGCCTTTTCTCCGTTTCCTCTGTCGTGTAGCGGCAATTACAAACATATTAGTGTCTTTATTAGTTTTATTGACATCTTCCATGAGAAATAAAAAGTTGCACACACTCCCATTCCAAGTAATACCAGTTTCAGGGCTCAATAAATGCAGCTTTTATCAACGACTAACAAACTTTATCACCTTGACCCGATGGCTTTGTTTGATAATGAGAAAATAATCAATAGATAAGCAGCAGATCGATTAGGTCAGCACATAAACATATGCACATACTGTAAAACACCTCCTGGGTCTGAGATGGTGCAGTTACTACCCTGTTGACTTCCTCTGTTAAACTTCAGTTTTGGGCCCCTTCGTGAAATGAGGAAGGGACAGAGTGGTCACATTCTGTGTGAAAATGGGCGAACAAGCAAGTGAAAGAGTTGACGTAAAAGGACAAAAAGCATCAAACAGCTGCATGGATTTGAGAAACCAGGTGGATGCTGGGAGGGAAACATCTGCAGGTGAGTTATAAAACTCCTGCAACAACTAAACTGGACTTTATAGATGAAGAGTTTGACCAAATATAGAGTTTTTCTCCATACTCATGTAAGCAGTAAACTTTCAGAACAACCTAGATCATTTTCTAACAGGCTGAACAATAACAAGTAAATCTGCAGTTTTCTCTGGTTGCAAAGTCCAAGTTTACTTTTATTTTTCTTAGTGTCAGTGTCACAGTTTTATCTTAATGAGGGTCAGAGGTCAAAAGGTGAAACATAAACCAGCCATCTTAGATAAAGGTGAATATTTCTTCCAAATGATGTTGAAAATGATCATTTTAAAATGATTTGTGTGTCATGCCAACTTTTACTTTTGTAGGCACAAGATGTCGGCCCACCTGTCAGCTGGCAGCTTCTGTGGCTGTTGTTATGGCAACAACAATCCTGGTCACTGGACTTATTTTGTGTTTGGCATTATGTAGTAAGTAAAACAATTAATATGAGATCATAAGTTTTAGGTATGTTAGTTTATTTCTGTGTCTGTCTAATGCCTTTCTCTGTTTCTGTATTCTTCATATACATTTTAAGTTTTATTATACCCTCTACTTACTGAAACATGAACAAAAACAAGGTTTAAATAATTTAATTAATGATGGCTCCATTTAGCTGCTTTAGTTTCAGGCTCCTTGTACTGTGCATGCTGGCTCACTGGCACACACTTACTGTTATTAGTAACACCTAGTCAAAATGTTGGCTGTCGAATGTGTAATTAACCAGAATATGTGAAAACATCTGTGTAGTGGTGGAAGAAATATTAAGATCAGAAGTATTAGAGCAAAATGGCTCCTTTCAAGTGTTCTGAAGTATGATATATTGTTTGTTATCTTTTGCCTACAAGAAAATAATTTCTACACACAGGTTCATATTTCTTTCAGGGGTTCTCTTGTGTGTTCTGTTGCATTGTATCATATTTAATAAGTTGATCGTCTGTTTTATAAGTAACTAGTATGAATAGCAGTGAAATAAAAAGTAAATTTTCCTCTAAAATGTAGAAGAGTAGAAGTATAAAGTAGAATAAAGTGGACTACAACTACAACATCTTCCATGAGAAATAAAAAGTTGCACACACTCCCATTTCCAAGTAATAACAGTTTCAGGGCTCAATAAATGCAGCTTTTATCAACGACTAACAAACATTATCACCTCGACCCGATGGCTTTGTTTTATAATGAGAAAATAATAAATAGGTAAGCAGCAGATCGATTAGGTCAGGCCAGCAGATGAACATCTGCACATATAACACCTCCTGGGTCTGAGATGGGGCTGCATGTACGCTCTGTTGACTTCCTCTGTTAAACTTCAATTTTGGGCTCCTTCGTGAAATGAGGAAGGGACAGAGTGGTCACATTCTGTGGGGAAATGAGCAAACAGCCTTTCCTGTCACTGCCATACTTTTACACACAAACAATCTTGATCAAGTTATGCAATAAGTTACTGTTCATTTGTTGTCACGTGGACAGCTGCACCACAAGTGGATCAGGCCTCTAAAACGGTGACGGAGCTGATGGAGCGACTGCAGCAGTGCCAGAAAGAGCGTCGTGATGTGAACCTGATGCTCCACAATGTCACTCAAGGTCATTTAAATTTTCTTTCTCCAATACAAATGTCTGACTTTACTGCAAATGTGGCATCTCAAAGTGTTCCCTTCCTGCTGCGTGCAGACTCCAGGTGCAGTCTGTGTCCAGACCACTGGCTGTGGTGGAGGGGTCGCTGCTACTTCTTTTCAGTGGAACTGCAGGAAAACCGTCAGTGGAATGAGAGCGCTGAGTTCTGCCAGCAACACAACAGCAGCCTGGTTGTAATCAAAGACTCTGCAGAGATGGTAACTTTGATGCACTTCTGTAAAATGATAACAGCCTATGGGAGGATCTGGAGCTGTAGTAAACACAGACTAAATACACAGGGAATAAGAACAGTATGTTTTTGTCACAATTGTTAAAAAAAAAAATAATTCAGAAGAAGAAAATAATTGGATTGAGTCACAGAGGTGTAGATTTACCTGCAGGAGCTCTGTGCTAAACTCAACATTCAATGATGTCACACTCCCTTTGCCTGTGTTGCTATGGCAGCCTCTCTGTGCTTTGTTTACAAATCCTGCCTGGCCATGTGTGGGTGTTAGTGCGTACACCTGAAACTACTGTTTTTCTCATCTATGTCAGTTAATTAAGGATTTATTTTAGCCAAACCAGAGTTGATGATTGTTGGGACAGCGGAAAGATGTTGTAGGTGAGTTTTATTTTATGATGTTCCGAGGATATGCAAGGTAAAATTACACTTTTTATATATTGAGTCTGGTGGCGAGCGATAGTGATACTACGGCTGTTTCTGGTTAAACAACAAGGTTTATCTCAGTAGGGATCCTTGGTGATTATTGGTTTGGTTTCAGCACTTTTATGTAATTCAGTCATGTGTCTGCTGCTGTTTTTCAGTTTTCAATTGATGCTTAAGAGATTTCAAATTCAGTTTTAAGAGGAGAAACTGACAGATATATTTAAGTTACATTTAGGGAAGGCAAATTCATGTGAAATTTTAAATACTTCCTGGTTCTGAAAGCCAGAATTTGTGCTTCTCACTGATTATACCAAATTTTTTTTTTTTTGGTTTTGGATTTTGGTACTTTTAGTTTGAGGCATTTTTTAAAAGTCAAAGTGAGTTCTTCCAAGTGTCCAACAAGAGTTTTTTATGATCATCTGCTCCGTAAAATAACTAGTTTTGTCAATAGAGTCTGGTTGGCTGTAGTACCCATGGTGGTCTGAGATGCTGTTGCTGTAGTGTGACATCTAGTGGCTAAGTGAATTTTGTATCTATAACCTGTAAACAAATCCCTCTAATGTTTTTAGCTTGGCACAAAAACTCAACATGACACATCAGATCACATTATAACTTACACCTGCAGCTCTGGTACACGCAGCTCTCTCTATAAGTTCTGTGATCTTAAAATATAACATTTGTCCACTTGAACATAACACAGATTAAGTTTTATAGACACCAGACCGAAAACATCAAAAATTCTGTCCTACAGTGGATCTGAAATCCTCTAAATGTTGCGTCCTCCTCAGGAATTTATCCAAAGTGTGATGGAGAAGCTGCCTCAGTTTCCCTTCCTGTGGGTGGGACTGACGGACGCTGAGAAGGAGGGTCAGTGGCTGTGGTTGGATGGGCTGGACATCCAGCACTACATGCCGTAAGTCTGGATTGACTGACACACGGTTTAGGAGACGAACAGTTTTTCAGATGCAGTATTAAATAATAGAAATACACTTCACCTCAGTAAAGTCTCACACATGTGGTTTTCTGTGTCCCGTTGATGCTCTTAGTTTATTTGTTGATCTTTGAGGCGTTCCTAAGTTCCTAACATGAGTATTAGTGTACATTTTTCTTCAAAATCTAATTATTTAATTCCACAAATAATCAATAATTATAAAAACATTGTTATGAATCTGTAGTCTTTGTAAGATAGTAAAATATCTGTATCCCAAGTTAGCTCAGGAGACATTTGTCTGTGAAGATACAAATATTTGTTTATATTATAATATTTGTTAATAATTGTACACTCTATCGACAGTATTTTACATACATTTGTGTTCAATTACATCAAAACGAAACGTTCAAGAAAATTCTTGTTGCCTCAAAAATAATTCAATAACAGCAGAGAATAAAGACTATAAGCAGGACAATAATGATAATCTTTAACTAATATCTATTATACTGTACAGTGACAGTACCCAGTAAGTAAGGGATAATGCCCAAGGAGGTATACATTATATGGAATTAATGGACACACTGCAGCCAATCAGTATCAATATCAATAGCTCAAGATATTGATAGAAAACACTTATTTTTAACCATATTTGTCTATTTTCTTAAAGATTAAGAAACAAACACTATTGAAGATTTTCTTCTTTCTTTTTTTATTACAACAATACAGTACATATATACATACATATACATAGTTACATACATATACATATATACATTGAGTCAACTATTGTATTGATCTACATTTACCAAATACCTTTATACAGATCAACTTTATTTTTATTAAAACACTGAAGTCTCTTATCACCTCCCTGTGTTTATATATATATATATATATATATGTGTGTGTGTTGCAGGGCAATGGTGGAGTGGGATGCTGATCACAGGGACTGTGCAGATCTGAGGGGAGGTGGGAGGCTCTTCGCAGCCAGCTGCGAGGATTATGGACCCTGGGCTTGTGAGAAAGACTCCTGACAGGCAGCACACATACGTACACACATTATTTTATATTTCTTTATGTACAATGTTCTAGTAAATTAATTGTAATTTGGATATTGTTACAGAATTTTGACACTTTTACACCAGCAATGCAAAGTCTTGAAGGGTAAAGTCAGCTTTGCAAAAGGACAAAGTTCCCAAAGACTTTTTATTGAAAAGCTTTACATGAGTAGAGATACATGCAGTTGACATTTGCACGGAATAAGTTCCTCTCAGTGAAATATGTGTGTGAAGTGTGATGTGATGGCAGAAAAAAACAACATGAAATGTATATGAAGTATTTATGATAAGTCTGAAAGTGCATAATAAAGTGCATGTATATAGATGTATGCAGAATGTGTGTTTTTTTTAAGAAATAGCATTTCTTGCTTATCTTTTAAAATTCCATTAATTATAAATAAAATTTTTTTTAGGTGTGTTTCTCAACTTCGTATAACAATTTCCACTTTTATCTACTGAGTGCTATGATCAGATACATCTATTAACGTGTTCTATAACAATGTGATCAGCACTTTTATGTAGTTCAGTCTTGTGTCTGCTGCTGTTTTTCAGTTTTAACTGACACTTAAGAGATTTTAAATTCAGTTTTAAGAGGAGAAACTGACAGATATATTTAAAGTAACATTTCGGGAAGGCAAGCTCATGTGAAATTTTAAATACTTCCTTGTTTCTAAAAGCCAGAATTTGTGCTTTTCACTGATTATACCAAATTTTTTTTAAAACTTAATCTTTGTGCAGATTTTGGTTTTGGTACTTTTAGGTTGAGGCATTTTTTTAAAAGTCAAAGTGAGTTCTTCCAGAGTGTCCAACAAGAGTTGTTAAGGTTAATCTTCCTCAGTCTTCTGACACTTTTTGTGGTGGGACGATTGTCATGAGTGTGCGACCATCCAGCGGTGCGAACAACGGGTACAGCTTCCCTCTGAAGGTTCCAGTGAAGGTGTAGATGTGGGACTTGGTTTCTGCGTTGTAGAAGGAGATCTGGCCCTCTTCGTAGTCTAAGTAGATGCCTATACGCCGTGGCACTAGACCGACAGGCAGTGGCATCTCTGGCTTGGTGCAGGCGTAGAACTGGTGTGTGCTGCGCCACAGGGCCCAGTAGCCCTGCTTTGGGGTCATGGGGAAGCGGCCTTGACGCTTGGAAACGCCAGTGGTCAGTCCCACACGCCAGGAGCCAGTGTTGGCTATGTCAACCTCCCAGTAGTGGCGGCCTCTGTCGTAGCCCTCCCAGCCTAGCACACAGAGCCAGCTGTCGAATCGCTGGGGGCTGTAAGGCAGGTCGGACTCCAACATGCCCTCCTGGACCCTACGCTGGTCGTCTGACAGCTGAAGCCAGGGGTGGTTCGTCATTGGGTCGAGAATCACATCAGCTGATAAGGAAAAGAGATTGTTGGTATAAATGAGTGCGTCGTACTGTGAATGTTTGGTTTGCCTTTTCTCTGTTTCAGTTGAGATGAAGATAAAGTGGAGGTTGATCTTACCTTCTGCGCTGCAAATCCAACTCCAAACTGAAAGTAGAAGTGCAGACATTATATTAAAGTTACACTGGATAAACAAGGGAAATGCTTATTGTACATGGTCTAAACCAGTGATTTCCAAGGGGTCCCAAGATAGGAAATAATTTATAATAATTATTTAGTTTTAACTTTTGTCTAATCTTTGTTTTTGTTTTTTATTTTCAATCCCTACTTGATGGAACTGCTTAACTCAAAGACACTCAAACTGTGATGAAGGGCTGCAGGGAGAATTTACTTCTTATGAAGAAAAAGTTGGGAACCACTGGTTCTAAATAACATTTAGTCACCCTGTTATGAGCTGTAATTGTACTTCTCCTTTGGGTAAATTTGTGGCATTTCAAAAGGCTTTTAATGTATCTTATCTAAAAACTGATTTAAAAATGCACACCTGAGTTGGGGATGTATCTGGGAATTCCTGCTTTCCAGGTCCTTTGCTTTGCCAGTAGCCACAACTGTGGAATCATCGTCTGGAAAAAATAAAGATAAAATGAAGATATGTTTCATATGAAAAGCATTTATATGTAGTGATTCTCTAATTCTACCTTCCCTTATGACCATGTAGTTTGCAAATATAATCCTAACTAGTAAATCTTGTAAATATTGATTTTTCCCACACTTTTTAGAAGTCGGTCAACATTAAATGATTGCCTGGAAGGTCATAACCATAACAAGTAGAGTAAAGAGCAGTTTTTTGTTACTGCACATGTTGTATTCATATTTTAAAACGAGGCACCAACCACAATATATTCCTTCACATTTCAATCAAGAACTTTACTACGTACACCACACGATCATCTATGAATGTTATGATAGTTTATCTGCGGAGTCTTTACTATCGGTTATCAAGGACATTGATTGTTGTTGTTTATCAGAGCAGAGGCAGAGTTATATAAGTTATTAATGCTCCGCACAAACTCAAAGAGCAGGGTTCACTCGAATCACATGTTATGTAAAGTCATTGTATAACTTGATCATGTCCGCAGTGCGTGACATCAAACAGCCTCATTCAGTTCTGTGTTTTATGGATTAACGGTTATTTGTGTGCTATCAGAGCAGTTCAAATGTTTATCTTTATATTCAAGTGACTTCTAATGGTTTCTGTTTCATTTCGTCCTTTTGAGGAATCAAGTTATTTACAGTTTTATGGTAAAAAACATTCCTTCCTCATTTCTAATTTAGTTATTTTTAGATACGAATCAGCTGAAATTTTGTAATATGTTTAAATAAATGTTATTTTCTTATTATCGAGATGTACAGTATTTGATAAAAGAACTGGTAGAAATGTTAATTTGCCAGCGGTTTCTTACTATGCTGTCTTCTTTGAGCAGAGACCAGGTGATGAACTCCAGCAGAGGCAGAAGTTTGAACAGTCGTTTCTTCTTAAGGCCGAGCAGACGCAACACTCTGCCCAGCTCGTCGCTCTGCACACCACAACTCTGAAAACACAAACACTCATTTCAGCTGCGATATTTGACACAAACTCTCCCTGCCCTCCTGGAGTTTAATGCCAAACAGACAAAAGGCTCACACTTCTTAACTGAGCGGCACTAGATATCATTTCTGTTGACAGTACTAAAATACTAATAACTTTCAGGTTCAGGTTTACGACTCCTCACCTCAGTTGCTTTCTGCAGCTCCTTTGCCCACTCCATGATCCTCATTTGTGCCTCCTCATCGGCATCTTTGTCTTCTTTATTTTCATGTTCTTGACTCTCAGATGCGCAGGGGGTCTCCTTCAGGAGCTACGGACACAAAATCAATACGTTTAGATTTATATATTTTTTCTATCTGTTATATCTAAATACATTTTCACAGCTGGTAATTACAGTATAATCTCTTTAAGCACCTCAGTACTCAATCACACATTGACTCGTTTGTGCACTGACCTTGTCGACGTGATGGAGTTCGTCAGCCCACTCCAGGATCAGTTTCCTGCTCTCCTCAAGACTGCGCTCAGTACGCCGGTCTGAACTCTGGGCTGTTCTTGTACTGGTGCCCTCCTCTGGATCACTACTGCCCTGCTCAAACACAGCACACTGTCAGACACTGTTATACACAGAACATAATGACGGCTACAATTACAATGAAATAAAATTACAAATGAGAGCCAGCTCACATTGACAGTAATGTGAGTTTCAAGGCCAAAGCTGAAAGAGGTCACTCTGGTTAGAATTAGTGTGAAATAAGTCACATGTGGGAAGTTTTCCATTTACAGTTGTCAAAAGGGCAATTTTAAACCAATATGACCTCTTGTGGGGAAAAGAATCAGATGCAGTACATAACTTCTTACTGTAGGCGTTGTCCCCCACCCTTCATGTTTCTGCCCACAGGGTCACGTAACTGGGCTGTAAAAGGGTCAATAAATATGTCCTATCAGCATCCTCCCACCCAATTAACACTGACAAGCAAAGTGGTTTCCAGTAGCAACGCTTCCAGTCCAGTCTGTGTGGCCATAAATACTGGGTTCACATGAGCTCATTATGCACCAAATAAGGCGTAACAGTTAGTCCTGAATCGAAACTCTGCACATTTGTAAACTTTATCTCCAGCTATGAACTCTTAACAGGCTGAAATGATCAACCATATGAGCCTGTAACACCATTTTTCTCATTTTCCAATCAAAAGGCTCTTATCTTTTTTTTTTGTTGACTTTTCTACTGAGCTGTCAAACAGCCTACAATGGCCTTTATATTAAAGGAAATTGGAGGTTAAAAATGAGGCAAGCTAATGTTTAACGTCAGTACCACCATGTCTATAAATTACGTATTATACATTCAGACACACATTTTTCTCATCTATTTGTTCTTTGCCCTCTGAATTTACACTGTAAGACTGCTATTAATGAGTATTAATATTAATATGTGTCTGATGAATTGGTGACTCACACTTTCCTTCCCTCCCTCATGTCCTACCTTGCAGACTTGGTCCACTTGGTCCTTCCAGTGATTGATGAACTGCACACACTCCTGCAGGCTGCGTAGATCCTTCAGGCCGCTCTGACGAGGATGTTGCTGCAGGTCACAATTTAAATGTTTATTTCTACTGTAGGTTTTTTTTTTAATGAAACCTCAAAGTAATCAACTAAATCAAGGTTGTTTCATGTACCTGTGAGTGTTTGGTGAGATTGTTGGCCTGTCTGCTGGGGGCCGAGCTGTGAGCCTGGAAGCTCTCCTCTGGCAGGGTCCAGCGAACGGCCCCAATGGAGCTGCTCTGGGTGTTCTCCCCTGTGGGGGGACACATTTAGGAGAAAACGTCTTTGTTAATATCAGTTCACAGAGCTGATTTCTAACAGAAATGAGGAAAAAGGTTGTGTCTTTAAGGGTTACGATTAAGCCTCTACGGACACAATCAAACCTTTCATCAAGCTGAGTCATTATCTCCCCACACTGGGCAAAGGTTATCAAACATGCATGTTTTAGAAAAAGTAGAAAAGTGGCATTAAAAACTTACTTTTGTTAGTTTTCAGGATACTTTTCATCTCCATGGTGGCGAACTCACTCCTGTGGAGCCGAGGACACATTAAAAAATTAATTTTGGTGACCAGTGGTGGAAGAAGTAAAAATACCAATACAACGATATTACTTATTACTACTGGTATTACTACTATTGAGACGTTCAACCTATATCAGTATTTACATACTTCCTTTCTCTTTGTTAACAAAATTCAAAATAAGAACAAATATCAGTGGAAACTATGAATCAGCTACATTATGTTGAGAAACAACTAATTCAGATGTGTTTCACTTGGAAAGATGTACAGAAAGCTTAAAATCTGTTGATAATTATTTGTTTTTACTGTTAATGATAACCA